GTCACAATGTATGCAGATTTACCCACTGTAAAAGTAGGTTGTTTATGTTATACCCTTGATGTAGTGTCACCACTACTCAAAACTTCCTAGCATTTATGAAGCAAAGGATGTTTAAGCTTTCATTTGAATTTTGTCCATTATTAGCAATTTTAGCAAAAAAGTTGGGCCAGAGCAAATATAGCAATTTTTGTGGGAAATAATTATTTTGAAACACGTGGGGCTGCCGCAACATGATGCCCGGGTAACACCGATATGCATCTTATGCCGGCTGCCACGTGCTTTGCACCTTTAACTTTGTCGGTGACACTTGCTTTGCATAGGTATAGTAGGAATGCCATTGAATGACAAGTGTTACATCTCACCGAACTTATTACCCGTTCTTATTCTTTACATTATTTCCAATTTTTATGGATGTCCTGATATTTCACTTTAGTGATCCAGATTTATTCTTTATTTTGTTTCTTTTTATTGGATCTGTTCGGTTTCCTACTTTATTTAGTCTGTCGTATGTGCTGAGGTAGTAATTGCATTGAAGGTTGGTAGAAGAAATTAAAAGAATTTGACGAAAGATTGAGCATTTACCTTCCATCAATAACATCCCGGTACCTTTTCACGTGATACTTTATTGATTCTTTAGCAGTATTTTTCTTTTCTTGACTATGGATAAGCAGTGATGGCTTTATAACGGGGAAATGAATCATTTATCACTGTATAAATTCAACAATGTCCGACCTAATTGCTGGGCTGAGATCTGATTTGAGTTTTTTTTCTACGAGGCATTTTTAATGTAAACTATTGTTCCACCTTTTCTACTTTAGTTCTTACCTAACATTTCCTTATAGGAGAATGGATGGATCAAGCGCTCAAGCTTGTGGTAATGTGGACTCTTTTCTGAGGAACTATAAGCTTGGCAAAACTCTTGGCATTGGGTCCTTTGGTAAAGTGAAAATAGCGGAACATGCGTTGACCGGGCATAAAGTTGCTGTCAAGATTCTTAATCGCAAAAAGATAAAAAATATGGAAATGGAAGAAAAAGGTGCAGCTATTTATTGTAGTATCTCACTTTCTCTTTATCATTCTAAACAATCAAACTATGGCCCTATTCCAATATAGTCTAGTTATCTGCTACACTGCTTTATGCTCATCCAACTCAACCCAGTTGGGCCACTCTGCTTTTCAAATTGAATTTGCCTCAACAGAATATTCCCCATTGGCATTATTGACTTCAACTGAAACATGATTTCTTTCTCATTACTTCCTGATTCTCTGGTCATCTTTTCAATCCTCGTACTTGATACATCTTGTTCGTTTTAATTTAGTTCTTTATTATTAGACATTCTTGCTGCTTTTAATTGACATCTTAGTTAATATTGGTATGTTCTTCACGGTGTAGTTAGGAGGGAAATCAAAATACTGAGGTTGTTTATGCATCCTCACATCATACGGCTGTATGAGGTGATAGAGACAGCATCAGACATCTATGTTGTGATGGAGTATGTGAAATCTGGGGAGCTGTTTGATTACATTGTAGAGAAGGGCCGTTTGCAGGAGGATGAAGCTCGTAAATTCTTTCAACAGGTAATGATGTTTGTTTTTTCTTTGTTTTTCCTGACAATTTACCTTAGTTTATATATTAACGGGTCATTAATTTTCTGAGAAGCAGATCATTTCTGGTGTGGAGTACTGCCACAGGAATATGGTGGTTCATAGAGACCTTAAGCCTGAGAACCTGCTTTTAGATTCCAAATGTAATGTGAAGATTGCTGATTTTGGTTTAAGTAATGTTATGCGTGATGGTCATTTCTTGAAGACAAGCTGTGGAAGCCCTAACTATGCTGCTCCTGAGGTATTGAATAGTGAAAGCTAACCTCTTTTGGTTGATACTTTTCTTAGGAAAATAAATGAAATTGTACTAAATTATCGGCTGTAAATATGTAATCGAAATATTTGTTGATTGTCATGATGTATATCCTCCTGTGCAGGTCATTTCGGGAAAGTTGTATGCTGGCCCTGAGGTAGATGTATGGAGCTGCGGAGTTATTTTATATGCCCTTCTTTGTGGTACTCTTCCATTTGATGATGAAAATATCCCCAACCTATTTAAGAAAATAAAGGTGAAATTTATTATCAATATTATGGATCTTATATACTATTTGAGCTGTTACTGTCATCCTAGAGGTGTGCGATGATGAATGGTTGATATGTATGCATAACCCTTAATGTGTAAAGTTAACATATTGTAATGAGCTTAATTTTACCGTGTTGATTTTGTTAGTGGAAGAATATAAAGGATTTCTGCTACTTTTGAAATATGCTACTATTTTTATTCACTTTTATTGAAATTCATTCTACAGGGTGGGATATACACCCTTCCCAGTCATTTATCAGCTGGTGCAAGGGATTTGATACCAAGAATGCTTATAGTTGACCCAATGAAGCGAGTGACAATTCCTGAGATTCGCACACACCCTTGGTTTCAAGCTCATCTGCCCCGCTACCTAGCTGTTCCTCCACCAGATACAATGCAGCAAGCCAAAAAGGTAGATTGGAACTATCTTGACCACTTTAGTTACTATCCCTTACAACTGTGGTCATTTTGTGTTGGATGTGTAAATCTGATCGATGTAGAACAATGGAGCTGATTTTAAGATATATATAAAAGCTATGTGTTTTCAATATTTCCTCTATCTTCCACGACACTTAGAAATATTAGAGTAATATTCTTTCAGTGTTATTCACATGTCTCCTGTACTTTGACTCCTTTATATCTTTTAATTTCATCTTAGTCCTATGGGTGTGTGGCACGTGTCAATGAGCAGGAATTGTGATTGATTAAACTTTAATGAACAAATAAATTGCAGATTGATGAAGAAATACTGCAAGAGGTAATTAAGATGGGATTTGAAAGAAACCATCTAATTGAGTCTCTTCGCAACAGAGTTCAAAATGAGGTGACATTCATTTGTTGTTATATACTTTGTAACCTTTTGTTTTGTTTTGTTTTGTAGACTACTAAGTTTGACATTATGTTCTTGCATGTCTTCTCAGGGCACGGTTGCCTACTATTTGCTACTTGACAACCGCTTTCGTGTTTCTAGTGGTTATTTGGGTGCTGAATTTCAAGAATCAATGGTTCGTTCATGTGATACATATTTGATGAATCTTCTATGCTTGTTTTTCGTGTTTATGGAGGGAGAAGAGGGGTAGAGTGTGTTGGTTTTGCGTATAGCCCATCTGCCTCCTCCCTCTAAAAAAGGAAACTCCTATTAGAAGACTAATTTTTGTCTCAAAAAAGTCCTATATGAACAAAACAAGCTAATTTTTATTAAAGTTTATGTATACTTTTCAGTAAAGGGATCCCAACAAGTTTGATGTTACTTATAGTTAGACCAACATATTCATTTTAATGTGTTGCTAGGATGGTTGATTTTCAAGAGTTGTACCTTACGGAAGTAATTTAAAACTTATACCTTGGTGATACACTGATACAGTACTCTTTTTATATGTCCCAAAATGATGTTTACACCTTTGCACTTTCCACTCTAGGAAATGAGGCTCTTATAATTTCTTTTATAAATACATGTCAACCACACACCTTTCACTTTTCAACATTTTTTATTAATCTTTGTGAAGTCAAAGTGTAAACTTCGTTTTGGGACGGATTGAGTATATGAAAAATCTTTTAGGTTTAGATATTTGGAAGAGTGTGGGTAGTAGATTCAATTATGACCCCATGGTTCCGTCTCATGTCTACAGTTTGGCCTCTATTCTGAAGTTTTGATATACTTAATTGCTCTACTAACATTTGATCCGGATTCAAAGTTTCAAAACATGTTTGGCTGGTCAACTTGCTATTTTTTTTGCTTTCTCTTCTCTAAACATTTTGATTTGCATGTGGTTTCCTGCAGGAATATGCTTTCAATCATATGAACTCAATCGATCTTGTAGGACTACCTTCTGGGCAACGCTTTACTGGGGTGATCGATTATCAACCAGTTGGTGCAAGGCAGTTTCTAGCTGAGAGGAAATGGGCTCTCGGGCTACAGGTTAGTTGATTGAATACCTGTCAACTTTTTCTTTTTTTGGTCAAGAGTATTTTTAAACTATGGAAACAACAACAACAACAACAACAACAACCCAGTTAAATCCCACAAGAGTAGGGTCTGGGGAGGGTGTGTGTACGCACTGGAACGGGGATGAGCTTTCATCTCTCCGACAAAGGTTTCTCTGGGGGCCGAGTTGCAGCTTTCAACGTAACGAACTGATTGACGATGAAGTAATTAATTTCTTCGCGTCTGTCAAATCTCTAGGTAATTGATTTATTCCATCACACCCCAAAGCCAAAAAATGGTGAAATTTTGGCTCCATCGGAGATGATGGAAAATTTTAAACTATGGAAAATGATAGGAAATGAGAAAAATTACATAGGAAAGTTATTATTGTATGTTTTGTTTTACCTTGGGAGTGCAACGGAAAATGAAATATGGTTAGTGTTTTAATCTTAAACTTTACATATATTTGGACAACACCTAACAAAATGAGTATCAACAAATATCTATTTTAATACCGGAGTATTATTGAGTACTTGAGTTATATTTCCACACATTTTCCCTCGCTATTTTGCTCAATATTTTCATCTCCATTTCTTCATAGTATTTTTGGATGTCCAAACAAACTCTATATGTTTTGTCATCTTGCGAAAAGTAAGAGTTGGATTTGAGTAGACCACATTCTACATTTACGGCCATGCATATCCTAGATTGCTCTTTAATACTTTCATATGTAATTCATATGTGCTTTCATTGTGATGCACAAATGTTTATAGCGAAACCATTGATTTTATTCTTTTGACCATTTTAATAGTCCCGAGCTCATCCACGCGAAATAATGACTGAAGTCCTCAAAGCCCTACAAGAGCTGAATGTGTGTTGGAAAAAAATTGGGCAGTACAATATGAAATGCCGGTGGACTCCTAGCTTTCCTAATTATCGTGAAGGTGTTGCGATCAATTCATTTCAAAGTCATAATTACTTTGAAGACGAATCTGCTATCCTTGAAAATCAAGGTGTTTTTAGATCAGCAAATGTTGTCAAATTTGAAGTTCAGGTAACAAGCCTTCGATTATATTATAATCATATTTGATAACTTTGATTATCTTAGAAGAATGACCTAAGAGCCCATCCATTTACAAAAAATTGCTGAACTGACATAAGTTGCAGAACCTGCTTAAATAATACTCCTGCCGTCCCACTATTTTTGCCCCTTTTCACATTTTTGTATTCGTCCTGCTATTGTCCCATACCACATTTTGTCATATTTGTGCAGTTCACATTCATTCTTCTTTTATCTTACTTTTTAATATCAAAATCAACCACAAAATCTTCTTTTATGACCAAATATACTTTGTCTATTATGGAATCCCCCGTGTCAACGGAGCTAAAGGAGTCACATTATTGACAACGTTTTAGCTTCTGGTAGTGAATAGCCCTAATGGAAACAGGCTCATTACATACATTTTTGGCCTTCGGGCCAATTTGTTCACTTCATTTTATCTTGAAAACGAATGCTCCGTGTTTACTACAAATTTGTGATTGCGCAGCTGTACAAAACTCGGGACAATAAGTACCTGCTGGATTTACAAAAGGTTCAGGGACCGCAGCTCCTCTTCTTGGATCTTTGTGCTGCTTTCCTTGCCCAGCTCAGAGTTCTCTGAAGAAGATTCAACATCTTCTTCTTGCAAACCATTTTATGGTGTGTACATAGTAATAATATTTTATGTTCTTCTCTTGCCCCCACCCCCACCCCCCAAACCCCAGAAAACCTGGTTCTGAACTGCCACCCTGATTTCCAGAGGTGAGTGTGATGGGTGCCCAAGACTTTCTTTTTTCTTTTCTGTTTGACTCTAAATGAATTGTGGCTTTTGCATTTGGTACTTACTCTTTATGTGGGTTTTTATTATAGAGATTGTGTTAGTTTTTTTTGCTTCGACTCCTCTCTATCAGTAATCGTATGTCACATACTACCCTCTTGAGGTGACTAGCGTGCTGCTTCATACGAAGCACATGCCACTACTTCGTAGCGAGCGTAGTGGCATGTGCTTCGTACTAAATTTTAAATACCTTGTTTTTTGTGTGCTGCTTTTATATGACCCTGCAAGTACTTATAATCTTCTTCTAAACTGTTTTGAGCCTTCGATTTGTTGTTTGAGTTGCCACTTTAAGGTCATGGTAATTTGTTAATTTATTTGTTTTTATAGAATTTTGATAAAATGTCATAGTTATGTAACCTTTGGTTTTCTAGAATTTTTTATATAGTTTTTTAAAAAAATTAATATTAAGTTTTTTTTTACCAATTTTCAATTAAAATTTGGAAAAACATTTTGTAGTGTAAATTTATCTCAACTTTTATTTGTATATTGAGGAAACTGTTAGTTGTTGTGCCCACGCCTTAGAAGGGGGGTGAATAAGGCGTTTAAATTTTTTTTGGAGTTTAATAAAAATGGTGTTGACAAATGCGGAAGCAATAAATAAAGCGCAGAAATAAAAGTGTAATGTAAAGGACACCGATTTTATACTGGTTCGGGAAATCTCGACTCCAGTACCTTAAGGTTATTCCTTAAGGATTTTCGAATCCACCAAGTCTCAGGCTCCGTCAAAGCACTGCATTAGTTTGGCAAGCAACTCTTGCCAATAGGATTCACTCCGAATTTTACAACGGCTAACTTGAACCGTTTACAATGAAGATTTCACGGCTATTTTACACCATTCCCCTCCAAAGATTTACAAGGTTATCTTGAACCTTCTACCCAAGTATTTATACGGCTATTCTCGACCGTTATAATGTGAGAATTTTGCGGCTATTCTCGACCGTATAAATGTGTGTTTGATGAACACAATCAAAGGTTCTACACAACGGCTTGAATATAAAATATACTCTATCAAAAATACAATATAAACTTGTGAATATGAGAGTATATAGCTATAAACATAAGCTCAAAGTGTGTGTATAAAAATCAGGAGAAAAAGGCTCTTGAAATAGCCAAAATATTGAAATCAAAGAATAAAAGATGAACATACTTAAAATATGAATATAGGATGTTTGGAGTTTTTTGTTGAAATATGAAGGGTTAAGCTTGTACTTATAGAGGGAAAAGTCATTCAGCCGTTGGAGACAAATTTGAAAGGATTTTGACTAATTAAATGTGATTAAATTTGAAATCTGAAATTTGAATTTTTTTCTCCAACGGTAACGATAGGTGGTACCGTTGAAACAGTATAGGGTACCGTTACAATAGTGTTTAGGTTGTTTCTCTACCTAACGGTCGGTACCTGCGTGTGGAATCACGGTAGGGGTTACTGCTATAGTGCAAAAGGAGTTGATCTCCATTATTACGGTCGGTAGGTATGTACAGGTAACGGTATGGGGTACTTTCTTAGTTTGACTCACGGTAGCCTTTACCGTAGGGGGTCCCGAGCTGACAGTAAGGAGTACCTTCTCAGATTGGCTAACGGTACCCTTTAAAACCTTTTGATTTTTTGATACCTTTTGATTTTTTGATAATTTTTTAATACTTTTGTCCAAATCGTTTCCAATTTTGTTTAAAACCTTTTGGAAGTTTGAAAATGATTATAAGAAGGTTTTAAACATATTTTGTGAATGCTTTTGAGCTTGTGAATATAGATATATAAAATCATATCCTTACAATGGTTTCTACCTATATTCTACGCTAGTTTAGTGTTTTGACTTTCATTCTTGAGAACCGAATTTTAATGGATTCTTGTTGTACCTGAAACACGTAAACAAATATTGGCTCTTATATTGTTTGTTAACATTAAACATGAGGCTTAGCAAACCAATGGTAACAGAAACATATTACTTACTCCCTCCTAGGGGTGGACACGGTACGGTTGCGGGATGGTTCCGGTTCCGGAACCGCCAGTTCCGGTACCGCCACCCCTTGGTACCGGTACCATGACCGGACCGGCCACCCCCAAATTATTATTTTTTTGCTTTTTTATTAAATTTTTAAAGTGTAAAATTGTAAATGTGCAATTGTTAAAAGAAAAAAATGAAATAAAAAAATTTAAAAATGTAGTTATTATTTAAATCTTGTTATTTAAATATGTGTCCCCCACCCGGCCACCCCCACTAACTTGTTTTACTACTTTTTTTTTTGCAGTAATTGTTGACTTGCAGCTTTGGAGTTTTGGACTTTGAATTGCTGCCTTGCTGGACCGCTGGAGGCAGGAGTGCTGGACCGCTGGAGGCTGGACAAAAATAAAAAGGTACCGGAACTGGAACCGGTACCGCCGGTGCCGGTACCGAAAAATGGGTACCGGAACCGGTACCGTGGGGGCGGTGCCGGTACTGGTTCCCGGAACCGGTGAAACGTCCCGGCCGGCGGTGATGGTGGCGGGTAACGGCGGTACCGTTGCCGGTCACGGTACCGTACCGGTACCGTGTCCACCCGTACTCCCTCCGTCTTTAAATATATCTCACATTTACTTTTTCAGCAGTCGCGAGAACTTTTGTTTATTTCTACGTTTTCATTGTTTATTTGATAAAATAAAATATTCTTGACATCTCTTATTTCGAAAAAATTTTCATGTAGTTTTTTGAAATACAAATTTTATTTTTTATTTCTATACCAATATGTAAATAAAATGAATTGAAAAAACTTGATATTTTACTTCGGTAATAGAAATGTGATACGGAGTATATATTTAGAAACGGAGGGAATATATCTTTTTAATACTGTATTTTGAAAAGAGAAAATTTTATGGCATCATGTCATTTTTATTCCAAAAAAAAAAACCTTATTCAGAGTTCTGACTGCGAGTGTCCTAAAATATCGTCATTATTCCCTTTTGGAAACTTTGAACTATTGCATAGACCTTAAATATTAATTCCCTACCAGTGAAGCCTTTCAAAAAGAGTTTCCTGTAAAAAATTAAGATGATGAACAGTACTTCTTGTACCTTTAAAATGTAACAGTACTCACTCCTTGTACCTAGGGATGCCCAATTGAAAATATAAATCCATCTATTTTATTATGTTCAATTTGTTTAAAATTTTAAGGATAAAGTTATTTGTACTCTAAGGATTTTGTACCCTATTTGTACACCATAGGTGTGCACCAACATTTTGTGTTGGTGTAATGCAAATTTTTGTTAATGCACCAACACTTTGTGTCAGTGTAAATTTTTGTTAACACTCCAACGTTTTGTGTCAATGTGACCCATCAAAATGTTGGTGTATGTTTTTGGTGTATTACTAAAATAGAACTAAAACAAAGTTGACATGTTTTTAAAATTTTTAAGCATATAATTTATTTAGACTTTTTAAATTTAAATATTGTGGAGTTTTTAAAATATTTACGCATGTAAATAGAGCCTACGATCATTCGTAATTTGGTCGAGATTACACCATCTGTCCATAGGAACGTTGAGCAAGTATCTCTAGGGCCAACATTTCGTGTCCCGGAGATCGAAATTGGCCAAACTTATGTTGATTTCAAAAGCTTGCTATTTGCTGTGTCTCTTCGCAATATTGCAGAGCATAGACACTTTTAGACTTCTTCAAAGCAGAAAAGTTATTGGCTAGCAAAGTGCTCATACCCAGAACAATGCTCATGGCTCATTCAAGCTGTTGAATCATCTTCTCTTTGAACGGTAAAAAAATACAAACGTCAGCATTTATGTAGACCTGATTATTTCAAAGAGAAGGATGACAAGTTTATCACAAGCAAACTCATTTCTAGAATTATCTTTTCCAAAATATGTTTGGAATGAGGTCAGAAGAATGGAAGATAATCGTTTACATTGTCATGTTATCCCTCATGATATGCAACAAGGGTTTTTTCGAGTCACTATTGAGGGAAATGTTGGGTCCAGGTACAGAAAATGGAATTATTGTGCATTTGAGCCAACACATTTGCACTTGCGGATAATGGTCCACAATACATATGCCTTGTGTTCACGTCTATGCCGTATTCGTTTTTGTAAAATAACGGTTGATGATTTGATTCCATTGGTGTTCTCACTGCAAAGCTACCTGAATGCATACTCTGGAAGTGTTATGCCACTACCAAATGAAATGGAATGACCTAATGTTGGTTACGAATTAATGCGACCAAATACGGGGAAGCGGTCACAACTCGGTCGTCCAATAAGTATCCGTTTTATTAATAACATGGATATGCGACTGCGAAGACAACATCGTGGCATGTAGTTCATTCATAAATTACTAGTTGTAATTCTTGTTTATGTGGTACATTTTAATTATGTATTTCTTTTGGGCAATAACGCGTGTGTGTCACACGCTTTTTTATGTTATTCTGTTCCGAAACAAAAAATAATGTTGTAATAATTGTATTTTATTTATCTATTTTTTCATTAATAAATTATCTATTATTATAAAAATAATAAATCAAACGAAAAACATAATTTTAATCTACACTAATTAAAAAATAAATAATATAAAAAATTGATAATGTTATTTAACTAAAATATAAAGAAAATGGTAAGTTTTTGTTAATTAATGGAGGTGAACTGGTGAAATTGTAGATGGAGTTCTATTTCATCAAATGTCAGTCCGGTCCCACACTCCCATTACGTCAATAGAGAGTTTCACAAATTGGGAATAAAATTTCATCGGTCCAAAAGGTGGAATCGCCCACCCCAGGCGCCCCCACCCCCTTGCCCGACAGGAATAGTGGAGGATGTAAATCATGGTGACTCAGTCGGCCAAGAACGCTAGACCTGTGCCCACCGCGCACAAGGAGCCTCCTCACCCTTTATGGGATTTTTGGATAGCTCCCACACTGCCGCTTGCGGGATTCGATCCCTGGTCATTGGTCCAAGATTTCACGCTCTTGACCAACTGAGCTACCCATGCGGGCGGGAATAAAATTTCAAGTTGTGCACTGATTGGACAAAAGTAGTACTCCGTACTTGGTAAGGAAAATATCTTTGAAGAAAAACATTATTTATAAGGTATAAAGTACTCCCTTCATCCTATTTTAAATTGATTGTTTGCCTTTTTTCTCCGTCCCAAAATAAGTTGTCTATTAGTTGTTTTCGTAAACTTTGAAAAATAAAATATCTAAACTACCTCTAAAATAAGTCAATTTTCTCCACATTATATTCTCATTCATCATCATCCCTCCTAAAAAGTATTGATAATTTCGAAAAATCAACTCTATTTTTAATTTTCCTTAAATATGTTCAAAAGTCAAAACAAGTGATTTAAAACGGGACAGAGGGAGTACTAAAACTTCTGTGAATAATAACTTGAAAGTAGATGAATACACTAAGACAAAAGTAGTACTACGTACTTGGCAACGTTTTTAGTGATTATTTTTCATTTTGTGCATTAGTTAATAGATCTTGATAACATTTGAAGATATTTTTTATGATTAATATATTTTTTATGGCAAAAATGAAAAAAATGTAAGATTCTTTTGGATTTTTTTTAAAAAGTATGCACTTTTAACTTTGCACGGCATTTAAAAAGGTGCCCTCATTTTAGATACTCGCAACAAAGTCAATTTTGTACCCTCACTATAATAAAAGTTGATTAATTCATACCTAGGCATTGCTTTAGAAAACTAAAGAATTTAAATTTTGTAAGCAAAAAACTAAGCATGAAGTATTTATCTACTTATTACTTCTTTTAAGCATATACTATCTCATCATCCAAAAGTAAGAGTTTCTAGAAGTCTAGTGATTACTTAAAAAATTAGAAGTGATAAGTAAAATGTATAAATCAAATCATTTCTAAAGTTTATTTTATACTTCTAAAGCTATAATTTATACGCTAAAACAAATTCTCAAACCATCAAAGCTAGGGAGTGTATTTTATTAAAGTGGAAGCTAAAAAGTTTTTCTCAAACACAATCAACCCTTTCTTGTAGATTCATTTAAAAAAATAAAAATTACGGAGTATTAAATACATTAAACTATCAAAAGCAATTTTTAACCATCGCCAAGTGATTGATTATTCCCTTTACTTAAAATTTCTGCGGAAGCACTTCTGTGATGCCATTTTATGAACACAAAATGAAATAGTATAAAACCAACCAAAACGAATTTCATGCAAAAAATGAAATAAAAAAAACAAACCTTTGTTTTAAAGAGTATTATTATTGTTTGAGAGCATACAATATTTTTACAAGTGTAAAATAACAACTTGAGACCTTGGTCAAAGAAATAACAATACTTTACAAGTGTGTATAGTTAGTACACAGAGAAAGCAAGCACACAAGTTGGGACTATGTTAACTATACATGACTTCAATAAAAAAAATTTAAAAAAAAAGATGTGCCCCGTCATCGATGAGGGCCCCACCCAGAACCGACCGGACAGTTCTTTTAACGCATGGCCCTATGGTGTATGAAGGAGGGGAGCCGTTTGGCTGTTGTCGTAGTTTCTGGGATAAGGGATAGGCATTAGAGATGGGTCTTGATAGGCTGTTTTTAGTTCTTCATAAAATGCAGAGGTTGAAGGGTCATTTTGATCACTTCTGTCCTTGCTTATTAAACTCTGTGTCAAAACATTGTAAACAGTCCATTCAAGGACATGAAACTGTTAGTCAAACAGAGGTCAAACTATATCGCCTTTCTTTACATATTCTCACCCATAATTTGACCAAATAATACTCATGTCACTCTTGTTTTGTAGAACCTTTGGTGTTGTTTTTAAATATATAAATTTATTTTTTATTGCTACACCAATTTTTTTAAAAATTGAATTGAAAATAAATTCAGCCAACCAATGTGAACCACGCTCCGGTTTTGCTTTGGGACGGAAGATAACGTAGGGCATTCCTGTCTCAAAAAAGAATGCTCCCATCCCCGTGTACCACCATCCGGGTGCCGCCACATAGCACAAAAATGTGGCCCCATTCCATTGTTGTGCTACATATTAGCATTTGGAGGGTGGTACATAAGTCGGATAGCAATTTTTTAGAGAAAGTAATCTATTCTCAGCCTGTAGCTTGAGAAAAAATGCAGTACAACTACACAGCTTTTCCAGGCCATGGTCCTATTTAAACTCCCAATGGGGAGGATACTAGGAGCACAAGCAAAATACAAAAACAAAACAAAAAAATAGGAAATTACACTAATGTACCTCAGCTGAATAAGCCATGAATATCGGTAAGAACCTTCTCCGGCAGTAGCTATTGAATATAAGAGTGAGGATTGGAAGAGGGATGGTTAAGCTGGAAGCGAGTGAAAGTTTCTTCAACCCAAATATCCCAATTGCAATAAGATGCATAAGTATCAATGAAAATATTGTCGAATCGTGCACTATAGGCCAAAATTGTCCTCCCGTCTCAAACTTGGGTGCATATACATTTACGAGCTGCAGAGAATTTTTCAGTGAATCCAACATTAAAGTATATAGTAATAGACTAATAGTATATTTTTTGTATACTACTCTTTCCATCCCCAAGAAAAGTCCTCTTTGTAAACTGAATATATTAAAAAAACACATTGAATATATTCTTTTTTTTCTTAAATAAACAAACATCTACAAAATTAGAGCTGGAATTCATGGTTTTGAATTGTTGTGCCTTACCATAAAATTAGAAAAAATAATGACCCTTGGTGAAACATTACTTTCTTTGGGTAAAGACCCTTGGTTAAACATTTTCTCTTTCCTGGGATAAGGGTAATAATTATTTAAGTAGGAAAATTTGGAACTATTAGGGAATATAGTCTACCAACCTGGTGGCGATAAACAACATATCCGATACAGTAGAATATCACAATAAATGGCAAGATTAGGGGTGCTAGAAAGAAATATGTTACACCAAGAAGGCCAAATAAAAGAAGCCGTGGAATTTCTCTGTGGTATGGTATTGATGGGACATCAAACTCTTCACTTGATGCGTTGCAAAATCTCTTCTTAAAAAAACTCAGAAAAAGCGGGTTTAGCTGAAGAAGCTCAGAGGCGGTGTTGGTCCATCCAGATGTCACAACATATGCAATGAAGAAAGTTGCCTGCCAAAGCAACAAGAAACAACAGAGATTCTGATGAACAACAGAAGCACATTCTGCTTCATATTCTGTGATTCCCTATTACTTTTGTTCTGTGTTTCTCATAGTTTGTTAAAAGTATCCCACATCAGGAATTTACCACATATCGCCCACCATATAAGACATGGACTTCCTACTCTTCTGGGTTTTAAGGTTGAGAATCCTATGTTGCGCTTATTGAAGTTCAGCCTCGGAAATTAATCTTGTATCACCTATTGGGATGTGTAAGCCCGTCTAGTATTCAACATCAGAAATTCACTCCCATATCACATACCATATGAGAAGGACTTTCTAACTTTATTAGCAAGGTTTTAACCCTGAGACTCATACTCCACCTCATATATGTTGTTGTGCTTACATGGTTGGCGGCCTTATAACAAACTTATATCAAGAATTGAAATCAATGGGTGGTACACTCACCTGACCTGGAACAGCTACAGCCAACATGCTAGGAATGTTCTTGAGCTCAAGAAACACTTGAAAACGGTAAAGAACCGATCCAGATAAAACATTTGCAAAGAAGATATTCCAAATCATAAACCATAGAACTTTGAAGCATGCACTTCTTTCTATCTGACTCAGTGCAATATAACCTTGTATGGATGAGAAGAGTATCATGGTAGGTGGCACTAAAGAGAGAAACATCTGAAGAATGAGACTAGGAAGATATCCTGTAACCACTTCACTAACAAATTCTCTGCAGCATGCAAATGCACAAAAAAAAAAGAGGGGGGGGGGGGGGGGNCTTACCTTTAGTAATGGCTAAAAGCTATATGCAACGAGAAATATCTACAAAAGAGATAGTGCCACAGTATGGAAACATGAACTGCGGGTTAGATATAAAGCATGGGAATATAAATATATAATTGTGATTAGAATGGAACTTATGCAGTGTTACATTGGAGAAAATGAAGTTCATGAAAGTCCCTTCACTTTGAGAAAATGAAGTGCATGGTGTGTATATATCATTATTTGGCATCCCCTTTTCCCCCATGCTAAAGACGCTAGTATCAAACTGCATCTCCTTGCAGGGGAGGATAATGCATACCTAAGACAAAAGAACTAAATACTTACAAAAGAACTAAATACTTACAGTCGCAATACACCTTTTAGAAAAGGGAACCAAATCTCAAGCTGTTCCAGATGGGTAAGACCTTGCACTATGAGAACAGGTATAAGGAACAGAACTATGAGAACGGCACACGCAGCATAAACAGCAACATTGCAAAACCATCTTTTGAAAAATGATGCGGAAAAGAAGGGCCAATATACATCATCTGGATCTGGAGATGGCTCGGTAGTCCATTCTGTGGGCTTCATGCCTTGCCGGATGTGTAAAGCCACTGCGGCTCCAAATCGTGTTTTGAAAGACACAAAGGCTGCTGCCACCTCCTAATATTAAAGCATGTTTAGTCCATGACAGACGAGTATATGGTATCAATAAGCCTCAGGTTAAAAAGAATCAAGTGTAAGGACGTATGGGGGTATGTCACTGCTCCCTCTGATTTAGGAAAAATAAAACTGCCTAACTGGTCGAGGAAAAATTGCCCTACCTGTTGGCAGTTAGCACCACTCAGTGGTGCAACCCCGCATGTCTACACACCACTTAAAAGAAAGGTAAGGGTGAGTGTGGTTTTTTTGTTTAACTTTTACCCAAAACCGAAGGCCGGACAAAAAGTATTTGGCCAAAACTACCTTTGAAGATCGTTCCAATCTGACATTGTAATCTATATCTTCTAGCTTCTTTTCATAGTGGCCCAAAAGATCAACTTTAGGGCCAAAGAGCCCCAAAAAGCCAGCACGCCCGAACCTCTCTTGACTATGGTCTAGTGTTTTCAAGTGGGTCAGCTTTCGGCACACCTTATCAGCTTCATTCTGCAATGCAAATAGCTTAGAACTTGGGTGTATTGAATGAAATCACACACATTTTAGCATCCATACTAAACTCCCTTTTGTAATCATGTGGGCTCTGCCGTGTTTGTCAAACATGTTCAATTTTGATTAATTCTTTTAACTGACATATTGCTGAGAAAATTATAAATTTTGTTTTAAAGTATTCTTAGCAAAAAATAATTCCATACTTGGTAGTACTCTATACTTTAATCACACAAATCAGTTAGTTCACATTTCCAATTGAGCAGAAAGAGTCATTTTTGAAAAGATTTTAGCTTCCCGTAAATAATGCTTTTAATCAAATGGAACATTAAACTTCATTTGGTTCTTAATTTTCATGAAGTTTTGAGTAGTAAACGCAGCAAAGCATCAAGAGTCTAAAGGAAAAACTCTCGCTGTAATTTTTATAGGATAATGTCGTGTACATCTTAGCCCCTTAGACCCCGACTAAAATGGGATTATACTGGTTTGTTATTGTTGTTTTGTATCATAAATCAGTTTTATACACAAATATACAGCAGATTAAGGCTTAACATCTTTGACTAAAACCGGAAAAGCTTTATGGGATAGAGCAAGTAATTGCAATAACCATAACCTTCAAAGTAAAGAATAGAACTTTCACTCTGCAATTTGCATGATCTAGATCTCATCTCTTCAAATCATCAGGCAAGTCATATACGGAGTACTTTATAAGAAAATGGGAGAAACATAAAAAGATCTTTTTTTTAAAGGAAAAAAGCTTCAGCAGGAAAAAAGTCTCGCAATATGTTGCATTGCAATCTTACAATGAGGCCTTTGAGCTTGCTACTCCGGCGAACAACAGAGTGTGAGAGATATGCAGAAGGATAGTATTCCATAAAGAAGCTCTCAATAACTTCACTGTAGCTTTTCCCTGGCAATGCTGGAATACTTCGAACTAAAACCGTAAATTGATGAGGCTTAGGTTTTGATGAATTGAAACAGGCAAGCCTTTTAGATGAAATATGGTCATACTCCTGCATATCATAGAGTATCCCATTAAGAATATGGCTTGCATAGATTCAGGTAATTGCAAATCCATAAAATAAGGGGACATTTGTCATGGGTTACTTGGCTGAAATGCTAATCCACTGAATTTTAAGAAATGAAAAGCTCGGGTAACATCCATTTCAGCCAAATAAAAAATCAAAAGCTACTCATTTGGGCAATGTGCAAAAAGAGCCTATTATGTGTACCAAACATAGCCTAAAGTAAAAATGGTGAAATACTCACAGCATAGAGAAGATAGCAAACAAACACCGTGAATACATACACCGCAGAGAAGTGGATCCATAACCTTAGAAAGACCAGAAAAGACAACTTTTAGCTGTCGAGCACAATGACTATTAACCAGAACTAAGCCTAAGCTATTTAGTAATGGTGAGTTGCTTATCCAAACAAGCACTAGCACAACTTAAAATTTCAAAATATGCTTTGTTCATATAAATTGCATCACTCCATTGGAATTTCGTTGCACCCTTTATGTAATTGTACAACTTCACATTAATTCAAATTATTTCCATGTATAAAATATATCAATTCCCTAGTCCCTAGCATTTCTTATCTCTACAATAATCGACTTCATTCGAGATAACAAAAGGACAATATAGGCATCATCACCTCTTTGACCCGTCATCAACATTTGAAATAGTGAATGACTCCAATGATTTGTTTGGCAGGTCAGTAAAGTCAAGACTGAGCTGATTCCCCATGTAATTGAAGGGAAGGAGAAGGAGGACCCCAACTGCTGTAGCAAATGAAAACACCTTAAATCTGAAACATAAATCCAGGCGAAACCCTAAATCAGCCCGGGAAAAATCATAACGCAAAAATGTCCATCACAGACAACAGATTGAAGCAGAAATAACCCTACCCGAATACAAAAATCCGCATGAAAACCACAGCGTCCAGACCGGAAACTGATAAGAGCTCGTCGTCGGAGACGCTCCAGGCTCTGGCAACCCAGCCGGCGGACGGAAACAACCTGTCAAGTTCGAATCGAGATGTCCCCTGAGATTCCCCCTCGGCAAGGAACCGCGGGGCGTAAACGTCCGCATTGCCGGGCTGCTTCCTCAAGACGGAGAACAGGAGGGAGAAGACAGCGCAGAGGCCGAGATTGATTCCGACCGAAGTAAGAAGCGCCGAGAAAAGCATCGTTCCTGAAGCATGTAGCTGCTAATTCATTCGAGATTCCTGAACAGATTCGTTTCTGGAGCGGGTTGAAGAAGAAAGAATCAACAGAAGGAATCAGCGGAGAAGTAAATAAACTGGTTGAAGAAGAAGAAGAAGAAGTAATTTGAGAGTGCTTTTATGGAGGAAGACGGCGGCGGCGGCAATGTGTCACTATTGACATGGACGCGCGGCAGGCTAACGGAATGCTGTAGTCCTTTATTGTAATTTCCCTATTTAATGAGAAATTTTTACTCATCTATAAAAAAGGATGAATAAAAGATGAAACTGAAAAATTAAAGTCAATCCGGCTTTGATCACATATTAATGAAAAAAAGACTAAAATCTACACTTGATATTTACAGAAATACTATGAATATATCCCAAAATTTATAATAATAAAGTCACTTGTACATCAAGGAATGTATCCCAAATTATAAACTACGGGTGTGCATTGATATTTTATCGGAGTAATAGTTTACACTGACAAAAAATGTCATTGCAAATTTATCGATCAGTGGCATTTTGTGCCACTAAAGTATCCTAAATTATATTGTACAACTTGGGGTACAATCCTTGGTGTACACCTAGCGTTGTTGCATTTATAAACTCCCTACGTCCTCTTTCTTTTTTCATTTTTGAATTTTTTTTCTCTTCATTCCTTTTAAAATAATTTTTTTTTCCTTTAAAAGAGTTGATCCATAAAACTTCGTTTTTCTCATTTAAATGAAGTCTAAGTACTCATTTTTTTTCCAACACATTTCTTAATTTTCATAGAATCGTAATGAAATTAGTTTAGAACTAAGAGGATGTTATTTTATACCCCGAGTATTATGTACTCTATACTACTATATTTGTGATAAAGTTTTTTAAAAAAATTATATTTCTACTTTTCAGTGGAACCATGGTAATTTTCCTAAATTAGAAGTTAGTAGATCAATAGCTTTGTGTTTCTATTAGTGTTTTAAAGAATTAGTAGTTTTGAGAAAGCTTCATTTTCATAACTCTGTAAAAGTAATATTGGATTCCGTTGGTCCCAAATTTAATATATTATGTGTTTTTTTCCCATAAAATTTAAGAAAAGAATAAAATTATATTTTTCTAAAATTTATATATTTCGAATAAAAAGAGGGAAACAATATGAATCATCATTTAATTCAAAGTTATCCTTAAAAGTAAAAAAGTCCAGTTTATTTCTACATGAATTTCAAGAACAATTTGTTGTGATATTGGGAATAAATGTCAACACATTGCTTTGAACGAAAGAAAGCCTATGACCACGATGTGAACATACTAAAACATGTTAATGTCTTTTTCAACAAATGTCATGTTTGTGGTTTTTTCCCTAAGTTTTATATGTATCAGTTTGAATAATAAATCAAGACAAGATAAATTTAGCTTTAATCTCAAATTGATTGATTGAGAGTAAAATTTAATTTTAATACGTTGAAGAGCCTCATACAAGACATTATCATTTTTTTCCAAATTCGAAACGATGTGAATTATTTTTTAAGCTTTTCTTTCGACAAGTTGAACTGCGGCACGAAAATTTTTCACCCTATAAGGGTCTTATTTATCATGAGTTCATGACCATATGTTGGAGGATTTATTTGACCAATAAATTTAATCAGACTCTGTTTGGTACACGAAATTCAAACTATGAAATTAGAATTGAGAATAACAATTTCAATTTTGTTTTTTTGGTAAAAATAAGTAGATTTAGAATTGATAGTGGCAAAAATGATTTGGAGTTGGAAGATTCAATTCCATCCAAATCAATTCAATGGAATTTTAACTCCCAATTCCATTCTAATTTCGTGTACGAAGCGGACCCTCGGGCTCCATTTGGTACATGGAATTCAAAGAGTGAAAATAGAATTGGAAATAGAATTATTGTTTTAAGCTTTTCTTTCGACAAGTTGAACTGCGGCACGAAAATTTTTCACCCTATAAGAGGGTCTTATTTATCATGAGTTCATGACCATATGTTGGAGGATTTACTTTGACCAATAAATTTAATCAGACTCTGTTTGGTACACGAAATTCAAACTATGAAATTAGAATTGAGAATAACAATTTCAATTTTGTTTTTTGGTAGCACAAAAATAAGTAGATTTAGAATTGATAGTGGCAAAAATGAATTGGAGTTGGAGGATTCAATTCCATCCAAATCAATTCAATGAAATTTCAACTCCCAATTTCATTCTAATTTCGTGTACGAAGCGGACCCTCGGGCTCCGTTTGGTACATGGAATTCAAAGTGTGGAAATAGAATTGGAAACAACAATTCTAAATTTACTGTTTGGCATCACAAAAATATGTAGATTTGAAATTGACAGTACCAAGAATGAATTAGAATTGGAGAACTCAATTCCATCCAAATCAATTCCATAGGATTTCAACTCCCAATTTCATTTCAATTCTATCAATTTCGCGTAACAAATGGACCCTCATTGATTTTGGGAATAACTTGCACCTCAAACATAATTTTGAAAAATAAAGTTGAAAACTTCCTGCATAATTTTGACAAATAATTGAAATAAAGTTGAAGACTCTATTTAGAGACTAGGGATTTAGCATAAGAAATAGATCGGTTGGACCACACTGGTCATCAATTTCACATCCATATTAACTTTGAAGGTAAAAAGAAGTTAAAATAGAGATATATTCACCCTTAAAAGAATTTCACTTTTACTTCAACGAAATTAAAAGCATTGAAAGATAAAGAAAATATATTGAATAGTAAAAAGTGATCGATTAAAATTTATTACTCAACGAGTACTTACACTATGTTTGGTTCAAAGAATTTGGAAGAAAAAAAATAATTTTCTCTCATTTTTCTCATCAAAATAGGAGGAATTTGGTTTTTCTTCCTCTTATTACATTTTGCCTTTTCTTTTTTTCCTTCCACTCTTCTTTTTTTTCCTCTCTAACCAAACAAGAAAAATGTTTTCTTTCTCATTTTCTTTTCTTTTCTCTCAAATTCCTTGAACCAAACATAGTCTTAGAGTTCATTTAAAAGAGAAAAACAAAGTGTTATTGATCAACTCTTTTAAAGGAAAAAATATATTTTAAAATGAATGAAATATTAATTCCCAAACAGTACCTTAGAGAAGAACAGAAAAAAGAAAGTCACACTTATTTTTTGGGACATGGGATGTAACTTCAAGATACAAATGTACAAGGAATCAAGCATAACGTACAAACAATCACTCAAACATGACTAATTTACACCCTTCCCTTGTATGTTAAGTTGCATTCTTAAATAGGCTTAATACTCCCTTCACCCCCAAAACAAATTCTCACTTTTCATTTCTGTCTGTCCCAAGATAACTTTTTTGCATTTTTCTTACCATAAAAGAAACGCATAGAGTGAGTTACAATATTTTCCTCTAAACAAATTCGACCTGTATACTTTCTTACTTTGGAGAATTTACCTAAACAGTACTAAAGTATAGTAACTTTCCCAATGTAGTTTTATATGTTTTTATTTCCCAGTGCAGTGTCCATTGGTCATTGTTCAAATAAACGTCCACCGACACTGGACATTGTTCCCGCTACTAGACATTATTCAAGTACTATTTAGGAAATAAGAAAATTTAAGTACTACATTATGAAATGACATACTCCCTCTGTCCCAAATTATAATACTTGTTCACTGTTCACAGGGTCAAACTTCATCCACTTTCTTTCTCAATTTTTGTTAGCAATTTGATAAAATAGAATACTATTGTTACTACTAGTTTTGTAGATTTTTTGATGTAGTATTTTAATATGTAATTTTTATTTTTTAACTATATACACCATTTGTCATATAAAATGATTTGAAAATAATTTCAGTCAAACATCGTAAACCGAAATAGGCGTTATAAAATGGGACGGAGGGAGTATATTTTAGTACTATTTACTGCAAATTTCACTCTTAATTTTAAACATTTTTTTAGCTCCATGAAATCAAATCACAAGTTTGTTTGGGAATGAGGAGAGTTAATAACATGATGTTGACCAACAAAGCAATTGGACTTCAAGCTGAAAGATTACACCATACTAAAATGTTTCTGTACACAAAGCCACTAACCACTAACAAAGACTACAGTTTTTGTTCTCCCAAACGTTTGTCCTATGTGATGAACAAAGAACAAAATATTATCTGAACGTGCATTGTGTGAGGTGAACAAGATGGCGTACAAATTAGTGGGTACACATATGGCACATCCCATTTACAAATGAAGGAAATTTCTCACATGAACAAGGTATAAATGCATGTACCTGCATGGCATGTTGTCATCATTTCTGCAGAGGCGTAAAGCTCAAATTTTGCATAGGACCTTTGAGTTCTCGACGTCTTGTTCGTTCCCATCATAGTGTCAGCTTGAACTAACAAGTCATAGACTTAGACTCGAGAGGTTTCCCTCTTGAACTCATTGTAATCGGCAATCAAGCAACCATTTACTTTGTTCCTCATGTTCTCCAGTAGTCTTCTTAGAACCTACACAGAAGCAGTTCTATATGTATCAAAATTGGGCACCCAAATGTTCCTTTTTATTGCTTAACTTAGAGGAAGTGTTTCTACCCTCGATCACACATATTATGTCATTTTCCTTATCCGTGAAAAAAAGTGAAAGTCCGTTACCAAAAGTGGAAATCTTGTCTTGAATTAAACTCATGAGTGAAATACACAAGCACATGATGGGTACCTACATGTTAAGGATGTGGGCGTTTCTAAGGGAAGAAATGCACATAAAGTTACTTGAGTGACAAAATTTAAAAATGTTTTTCAGTTCTTTGATTGGGGTTAAAGTTATTGACAAATTCCACAAAAAAGTAGGGTCTGGAGAGTGTGTGCAGAGTGTGTGCAGACCTTACCTCTACTAGGCAATTGAGATACTATTTCCAAGAAAAGTTATAGTGAATCTAGTACGAAATTGTCGCAGGCCGCAGCTTCATATCTCTTCACAAAACTGAGGTGAAATATGGAGAGAGAGAACACGGATATACAGTAGAATGGGTTTTCCAAAATTAACCCTCCTATGTGGGGGATTGAGCCCACAAGAGAGCAAACAAACACAGTACAAGGATCTCTTCAATAGCTTAAATATGGAGGCCAGTCCGCCACATCTTGAGGAGCAAGTTAGGGTAATGCATCGAAGTATACTAACCGAGTCTGCAACATCTTTATGAACATGCTCGGGAAGCAAAGCAAGCACGGGAGGAAGAACAAAGCTTATACTCATCTGCAACTGCCCCTTAAGCCTGCTTCCTGATCCACGCCTGTCAGGGTAGAGAGCCCCTTTGACACCAAGTGTAAATTGAGATGGCTCCATAATATCGTCCAGTCCCTGAAGCTTCCATCTGACCTGTGAAATAGAAGTTTGTCTTCTAGGTCAAGTTGGGACGAAACGATAAACGAAATGACCAAAACTATATTGAGTAGAGGCCACAAGACATTTGGGTCAAACAACACGAAAAGATTGAAATTAACCGATTTAGTTAGTTCAACTCAATGTCTTATTGACCCATCATTATTTTTCTAGTTATCCGATGTGAGGTGCTTAAACAATATACGGAGTATATACTTACAATGTCAAGCTCAAGAACCTTAGAGACATCAGTAGGGACGCCGGGTGGGTATCCAATCCCTTTGGATTTACATCTCAATCTCATGTCAACCACTGGCAGAGCAGATAGGAATAGGAAATGTACAGGTAGCATGTGAATTCTCCATTCTTCCTGAATGCAACTAATATTCAGCCATCAAAAATTACAGTATGTACACACTTCATAAATCATAAGCACAAGTTTGCACTTCTCAAGATGAAGATTGAAGACTATATGTATGCAAAATGCATGTAGTGTAGCAACTAGAAAGTTAGTGATTAAAAAAGGATTGCAATTTTCTTTCAGACCAAAAACCAGCATGTGCTTATATTACTTCATTTGAACTCTTCAAACAGTTCAAAGTGAAGGAAAATTTAGCAGTTTGGTGCCATAAATTTCCATTTTGGAACATTACCTGTTTGCCGAGTTTTTTTTACTAGGAATATCTTTTTTCCCTGGACTATATTTTTAACTTATTTGACATACTTTTTTTAAATGTTAGATGTTAGCATTGGACAATTCATGTCATTTTATTGTTCTAATATACTACATAATGTAACAATTTTCACTCTCTCTAGCTTTCATCATTAAAAACTGGACGAAGTTTAGTTGCGGACTTGTGGAACTAAAATTGATTATTTGGGATACGTGAGAGACCAAAATTGATGAATGTGTTACTTCAAATATCAGAATTGATTTTGGAAGATAGGCACCAAAATTGATGAACATGGATACTTGAGGACCAAAACTGACTTTTTCCCCCTATTATTCAACACTATTCATATTCCCTTAAGTCTTGTTTAGGAACTCAAATTTGGATTTAAATTACATATTTGACCCAAATCACTCCCCTTTTGATGTTTGGCTGATGTAAATTTGAGTTCAATTTATTTCAAAATTGGTATGAAATTAAAAATTAAAATTTATATATTTAAAAACAACATAAAAAATTTTAGAAAACAAGAGTTGATATAACTATTTTATTATATCAAATCAAAAACAAAATTACATAAAGTTTCACCGTGTAAATAGTAACTATGCAAAGTTTTTTTAATGAGAGAGAGGGAGTAATGTTTGGGAATCCAAAATAATTGGAATTTTTTAGAACATCCCAAATAATTGGATTTGGATTTGAACCAAATTTCTTAAATTCCTAACAAAGCTCAATCACAAATTCAGACTCTTTTTAGTTTGAATTATGGAATTTTAAATTTTAGAATATTCAGCACAAATGAAAAAGGATTTTGAGGTACCTCATTGAGTTGCTGGCTCCTCCTTTTGTCTGGAAATATAGCCTTGAAAACTCTGGGCTTATCCTCCAAATATCGATCGAACGAAGCCTGCATTCCCAAAAATGTCCAATTTCAACTCCAAGCAAAACTCATACAAATTAGGGTTTAAGAAAACAAAAACTTCATAGATGCGATTACCCCTGGCAGTTCATAGAGAGGAATGTTAGTGCTGATCTTGGAAGAGTAAGAGGAAGCAGTCCCAATCCGGGCCGTCATCTTCGCCGGGTTCGGTCTCTGCTTTCTCCACAGAACACGGAAGTTCTCCTTCGGGCTCCGATCCTGATTCCGGCACCGCTCTGTTAAGAATCTGCCGCTCCGGCACGGCGGATCCGCCGCCACAACCTCCCTCATTGGATGCCCTTTTAATTGAATCCAAGTTCAGAACTGCCGCAAGTTGAGAAAGTGACCAGTGTGTAGCGGATAAGGGGAGGGTTTGAAAGTGCGGAGGAGCTATAAAGATGGCGACATACAATATCAGAAGCTACAGCACGAAAGTGACATGGCAGGAGCTGATTGGTGAGGTTTATCCATATTCTATTAAAAAATAATGAGAAATTTGTTTATTTGTATATTTTACATTTATTATTTAATAAAATAAAATATTGTTTTTACTCTTATTTTAAAAAACGATTGACGTAGTTTTTTAAATGTGTAAGTTTTATTTTAAATTATATAATTAATAATCTTTAAATTAAATAAATTGAAAAAATTTAATATTTTATTTCGTTTTGCACAATATGACAAATATTTTAAGGCAGAAGAAACTTTATAATTTTATTGATTAGAGTCTTGCTAGCCACTAGGTGTTTGGCAAGATTAGACATATACCATATTCATATATTTCCGCCGACCCCAATTTAATTACTAATTGGGTTTACGAAGAAAAAATTCTCATTTTTTGAAATTATTCTATTTACAAATTGATATATCAATAAGAAATAAAATTTATATATTAAAAAACTACGTCGAAAGTTCTATAAAACAAAAAGTGACAAGATTATTTTATTTTATTAAATACTTAATAAATCGCATAAAAAGAAGAGAGAATTTTTTTAATCAAAATGGGGACGGAGGGAGTATTTGTTATTCTGTCCACCAATATATACAAGTAGAGTTTTATTTTAATCTCCGAAAAATAAAATATAAAGACATATTTTCTTCATTCCTCCCGTATTGTATTACTCCTTTTCTGATCCTTGATCTCGAACGCGTTTCTTACCCCCCTACTGATGAGCAAACACAATCCAACTCCTACCGACACAATATTGTGATTTTTTCCATTTTAATTTTTCAAATCAAAAGTTCTGAGAAGTCATAGAGGTCGCTTCAACAAAGAACATATATGGCGCTGAAGAATCCCGACTATTAGTCATGAAGAAATCGCCCGACAAGCTAAGTATTGTCCTAAGAAGTCGGACAATCCTTTATTTTGTGGGTAGGCATTTTAAGGTGTTCAAAAAGAGTGACGACCTGTGTTCGTTTGAATTCGATCAAGGTTCGAAGAGAATGATGTTGCTTTCCTCAGTTGATTATTACACTAATTCGGGGGAAAAAAGACGTGGATATAACTTTATACCGAAGGATTATGTATCCAAATTAAACTAGGCTCCGTTTGTTATTTGGAATTCAAACTATGGGACTCCGTATTTGATAGAACAAAAATACGTAGATTTGGATTAAATAAAAGGTTAATTAATTAAAGAAATACAAAAAAAAACAAAAAACGTCGTCGTCATACGAGTTTTTTATGCTCAAAAAATTTCTTGAGATGCCAAATCTGAAGAGCAGCCACAGACATGCAAACCAGTAGAGACAGAAAGCTAAAGGTTGCCATCTTTGTGTTTGTTGATCTTGTCAGTGCCTGCATTTCCTCCCCCCTGCATCCATTATATTTGCCCCATATCAAACTAGTTTGATTTTTTTTAATTAAAAATAAGATAAATTTAATAAAATCATTTCGTACCGAGCGATATGTTTTACTATACCTTTCGCGAAGGAAGTACATCTCGTCGTGGATGGTTAACACGGTGTCGAACATCTTTCTGAGCTCGAACTCCACCCCCTATTTATATATCCCAACCAATGAACCAAACATCGAAATCAATTCCGGTATGAGTAAAAAAAACACTTCCTCCGTCTCATAAATTTTTTCGTGTTTGACTTTTCTCAGTCAAACAATGTAGGAAGAAACGATTGTCTCATTTAGATCGAATAATGACGACGATGACTTAATAATTAGGTTGTGTTACTTGGATTTGGCGTCGCTTGGCGATTTTGGACCAGTCGATGGTGGCGTAACCGGACTTCCATTCGAAGTCGACGGAAACGGTGGCGGGGGGAATGTGTTGGGCAGCCCAGAAACAGATTTTGTATTCCCCTTTCTCGGCAGCCGTGAATGCGAAGTTGCCGTGGTCCGTGTCCACCGCATAGTGATAGTACTGCCCCAATGGAGACGTCACCTGCCCGGCCAAATCATTTTCTTCAGTATAAAATTTGATCATGTCAATAATAAATAAAACGAATAAATAGATGACTTTAAATTTGGAAATATACGGGAAAAAAAGTAAGAATATGTTTTCACTTAACCAACTTTGATCATCAATTGCATAAGAATCTATCGGAGACTTATTCATGGGGAGCTATCAAAAATTTATCAATGTCACGCCATGATCCCGAGCTCTCGGTTTGAAAAATCGATGATTCCTACTTTCTAATGCCAGGTAAATTCCCTCGCCCCGACCTGAACGTACACCCCCAACCCCGCCCAATTACACCTCATAAGATTTAGTTGACTTTGGGATTATGGCAACTAATTTCGTTTTGAAAAAGTCAAATACACTGGGATCTGGAAATTAAACGGATAGATATATAGGAAGAGGGGAAGAAAGAAACTTAAGGGAGGGAGGTTTTTTTTTTCTTTTTATATTTACCCGGACGGTGATCTTGTGGGAAATGGGAGGGGGGAGATGGATGATGGGGTTGACGATGGAGTACTTTCCGATCGTCATACTATTCACGTGCATCTCCTCCCTTACGCATTTCGACGTCCCCGATCTCACGTCTATCCTCAGACCCATAGCCGTCCCCGCCGCCACCAGCACCGCCATCACAACCTCCGCCGTCCTCTTCTTCATTCTTCTTAGCTTCAGACCCACCACTGCATATGCATATGCACAACAGGCCAATTCTTTGATTTGATCAAAAATTTGCCTCACATTATTAATTTTCTCTTAATTTTTAGTGTTATAACTACCTACCTCCTACTCCTACTTTTTTGCAAGTTTATTACTCCCAAAAAATCTTTCTCGATAACTCACAGTATGCATGGTTTCCTTCCAAAAAATCTTTCTCTTTACTATTACGACTCTCGATAACTCTTATTTGTTTGTGTGTTTTCATTGACTATTTGATAAAAAAATATTTTTGTCACCTCTTAGTTTTTTAGAGTTTTCGATGGAGTTTTTTTAAACATATATTTTTTATGTGTTATTTCTTTACCAATTTGCAAATAAAATGATTTTAAAAACCACGGGGTTTTGCGCGTTAATCAAAGAAATTATTTTTGAGACGGAGTGAATATTTGTGTGTGCTCTCCTGTATAATTAATGCCTAATTAGTTAATGTTGTTTCCGTCCACTATTCATATGATCAAATTATAATTATTTTGTTTTACGGGAGCATTTTTCAGTACTCATTTCATAATAGAATACTCCCTACGTTAGTCAAATCTCTTCTTATTTACGGAGTACTCCCTCCGTCCCCCTGTATTTGTCCACATTTGACTTTTGGAACTGTTCATCTAAACACTTTGACTTATCAAATTCTCTCAATGTGTAAGACTAAATATAGTCATGTGTGATCTTGTTTGATTTGTCTTAACATATAGATTATTAATATATAACTTTTATAATTTTTTAATATACAAATTAAAAGATAAAATGAATTAAAGAAGTGCATTGGATGGTGTGTAAAAATGAAAGTGGACAAATACAGAGGGCAGAGGGAGTACTATTCAAGACATCCCGATAACTTTCGTTTGCGTGTATTTTTTAATAGGAAATAAATATTGTTATTAATTAATTTCTTTATCATATTGCTTCTTAATTGTTATTCTTTCATGATTAGGATTTTTTTGTATGCCTATATATAGAGATGGAACGTTCATTATTTAATAACACTAATTAAAATATTCATTATTCAATGTGGACCAATGAACCGAGAAGTGGCGTGTGCCCTTTGGGCTCTATCTTCTTAGACACCCATTGGGCTTTTTTCGGGCTCAGCCTTTCATTTAGGCCGCATTCGCATTTGGGCTAACCCAACATGTGATTTACTTTGAAGTTTAAAAGAGTGATTAATAAATTATTTATTAATGAGCTTTTTTTTGGAGTAAAAAAGAAGGAAAAATTACAAACAAATGAGCTTTTTTTGTTTTTTTTATTTCTTTTGGAATTGACACCCCGGCCACAACCCAATTGTCAACCTAACTTTTGGCTAGTTTCATCAATTCCAATGTCCAACAATAATGATACTCCGTATTATTAGCATGACACCAAATACTACAAAAAAAGGATTGTAGACTAATACCCCCTCCCGTTCTCAAAAACACTTCCTCTTTTATTTTTTTCACTTCCAACAAAACACTTCCTCTTTCTATTAAAAAATCACTTTTACCCTTACTTTTTCATACTCTACCTATCACATCATATTTTTTCTCTAATAATAAATCCATTACATCTTACTTTTACTCATCACATCAGGGGCAAAATTGGAAGTCAACTATAATTTTACACTTCTTTATTTTGCCTTATAGTCAAAGTGGGAAGGCTTTTTCCAAACGGAGGGAGTATGCCTTTTTTTAATTTACTTATTTAAGGAAACGAAAATTATATTTATTTTAAAATAGACAAAAAAGTACTCCGTGTGTTATTTATTTTTGAAAAAAATGAATAATTAACATTTGCAGAAAATTATTCACGAGTGATGCGAGTTTTGTCGAAATAACTCTCAGGTCTCTCTATTTTCAAGAAGATAAAGAAGTTTCTTCAATTTTGTTGTAATGACTGAGACTCTGGGAGAAACATTTCATTCAATATTTCATCCGTAAACATTAATAAATATATTTTTTTCTTATTTTTCCTTAATGTTTTATGGTATTAACTCTTAGGTCGCTCTTTTTTTATTTCTCTGTTTTCCTTTTTTTGTTACTCTTTTCTAAAATGTTTTTTAGAATATCTTCTATAAAACTGTATGAAAATTCAAAATTGTTTATTTAATATAAAAATAAGTGAAATAAAAAGTTTCTAAAAAAGAAAAAACTCACTAAAATTTAAAAAAATTGAAAAATAACAAAACAAATTCCCTAAAAACTCCTCAAGATTCTTTTTTTAATACTTTGTATGAAATATTTAAAAAGAGATCTATTTTTCATTTTTGATAAGGTCTTTATTTCATTTATTTTTATATCATGCAGAACTTAAATTTTTGAAACTACTTTCTAGAAGAAAGTTTTAAAAAAATATTTGTGAAAAAAGAAAACAAAGTGAAAAAAGAGACAAAAAAGAGAAGCTAAACAAAGAGACTAAAGTGAGGAACCTAAAAGTTATTATCATAAAATGATAATGAAAAAATAGTAAAAAGTGCATTTATTAACGCTTATGGATGAAATATCCCCGCCTGATCATTACAACAAAATATAAGGACTTATGTTGTCTTCTTGAAAATAGAGAGACCTTAGAGTTATTTCGACAAATCTCACATCACTAGTAAGTAATATTCTCTTAATATTTGTGTATAATACTTGTACATATTAATGATTAAAATGTTTTAAATAAAAAAAACTGTGAAAAGCTAAGTGAGAGAATTTATCTGAGCACAGGGAATATTGAAATGAAATGTGATATTTAAAAATGGACTAAGGGAATATTGTATCATATGAGTGATGTATCACTTCATGTGACCACCATCTCTTTTGTTTGACAATTAATTAAGACAGTGCCCATTTTGAGACACCATATCTATATACGGAGTATATTCATAGAATGCCATGAAGATTTTTTTCCTCTATTCCTAAAACTTTACCCATTTTTTCTTTTTTGAACGTCAAAAACAATTTTTTTCTTTGCACTATTTCTTTTTTTTTTAAATAATGAATATGTGACTCACAAGATTTCTCTATCCTCAAAATAAATTCTAACCTATAACTTTTTTTATTTTTAACTTTTCGACATTTTTTAAACTCTGTAGAAGACAAGGGAATTTTTTTTGGAAAGGTGAAGTAAATAAATCTCTACAAAAAAAAAAGTAATTTATCATATGCTGGATTATCATGTGTGCAAGATTTTGAAGGCAACCTTTTTAAAAAAGTTTTTGAAATTTTGTGTAGGAGAAACTTCAAGGCAACTATATTTTCTTTTGAAAATGGTGTTTTTAGTTCATTTCTGATTTATTACACTCCATTCTTTCAGTCTTGTGTTTCACCTCTGGTTTTTATCTCTTGAAAACCCCCCGCCATGAAATTTGGCAAGGAATTTGCTTCCCAAATGGTGCAAGAATGGGGGGAAGCATACATAGACTACAAACACCTCAAAGGAATCCTAAAACAAGTCCTCAAATTCCGGCAGCAAAATGCCCGGCCGCCGTCGGCGGCAGCGGCGGCGGAAGGACAGCCAAAGACTTCGTCGCTGAAGCGAAGGCTGACGATGTACAGAGCGTTCACCGGACTGACGAGTTCTCCGGGGAGGAGCAACCACGAGGAGGACGAAGCGATCCTGGTGAGCGCGGTGGTGCCGGAGGGCGGCGCGGCGGCACCGGAGTACCAGACGTTGTTCCTCATGTCGTCGGAATCCGGGGGAGCGTACGAGCTCGACTTCTTCAACCGGCTCGACGATGAGTTCAACAAGGCGGTGAGTTTCTACTGGAGAAAGGTTGAAGAGGTGAGGAAGGAGGCGGACGAGCTGAGCAGGCAGATGAATCGGCTCATAGCTCTCCGCATCGCCGTGGACAAGCCGGCGGAGTGGAAGCTTGACGAGCACGCTAGGCCGCGTTTGGGCGGCGAAATTAGAGAAGAAGAAGACGATGAAGGGGAAGAACATTTCCCGCCGGAATTCAGGCCGCCTCCGGCGGGAGTTTTGGAAAATGTGAGAATCAAAGTGGAGCCCGAAAAGCCGGGCTCCACTTTGAAAAGTATGTTGAAGGCTTCGGATGCCGAACTGAAGTTCAAAAGAGTGGAGGTGAGGAAAGCTGAAGATCAACTGAGGAAGGCTTTCATGGTGTTCTATCACAAGCTTAGACTTCTCAAGGGCTATTGGTGAGTCACTGATGGGTTTTTCTTTCTTTTTTTATTCGTTATTTTTATAACTTTTATTATATTATTATTATTATTAATACAAAATGGTTCTTTTGACCTTGAACCTCGGGTCATAAATATGACCCGAGACCCTACAGTGCTCCGTTCGTAAAATTGATGGTTCCTACCATACTGTAGCCAATCGGCGATTTGGGGGAGGGAGGTGCTGGGGTGGGGTGTGCAGGTAGGGGCAGGGGGTTAGGGTTTAAGGGGTAAGAACTATCAATTTTACGAACGGAGCACCGTAGGGGCCCGAGTCAAAAGATCCTTGTCGTTATTATTATTATTATTATTATTATTATTATTATTATTATTATTATTGTTACAATTTTGTTTCCACAAGTTAAAACTCTATATGATGAATGATTGAACCAGTTTCTTGAACACATTGGCAATTTCCAAGATCATGAAGAAGTATGACAAGGTATAGATCCACATTGAGTGCTCCTATGGTGCACTTAAGGTTCACAAACACCTCAAATATTATTATTTTTTCTTTTCTTTTTTTTAAAGGATTGAAAATATTCATCATAGGAGTTAACAAATGCTTATTACCATTACCTGTAGGCGCACCATAAAATTTGTCGTATGCATTGTATGGAAGACCATACTTCGTCCCAAAAAGATTTGACTAATTATTCACGTGATAACACTTTGAATTCTTTCTTATCCTCTTTTCACGGCATTTGATAAAACTATGTAACCGTGTTTTTTGTAAAACTTTTGATGTAATTCTAAATACATATGTAGTAAATTTTATTTTTTAAAATGATAGAATTTTCAAATAAATTGAATTAAAAATAACTCCAAACAAATGGCCTTTCTGGGATGGAGTATCTATCGAGGTTGAAAACCAAGGAAAAAAAGCTTTTGAGGTATATGAGATGTTTGACTATAGTCAAACAATTATTCAAAGTTTTCTTAAAAGGAAAAATTTGTGCCGATAGCAATTTGAATTTTACAAGAATACTCCAAGATTACGTAATTTGTTGATCATTACATCGTATTGCCAAAGCGGCGATAAATGTAACCTCAACCTTCATTTTAATGACTATCACATAGATCACTTCAAGGGGAGCTTCAAGGACATACCTAAAGATGGTTGACAAATCTTGTCTTGGAAGTTCTGATGAGGTAAATGACTTCCTCCTTCAGTGGCATGAATGGATTCACCAGATATATATATATATATATATATATATATATATATATATATATATATATATATATATATATCTACACCTGCAATGACATATATAATGACAGTCTTTCTTATTATCACTTTTGATTACCTGCAGATCACTAAACTCTTGGAAAGATCAGAAGCAGCATTCATAAAGCACTTCGCCAATGGGAACCGAAGGAAAGGAATGTCTTCGTTAAGGCCACGAGTGAAGCGCGAGAAACATAGAAACACATTCTTTTTCGGTGAGTTTGTAGCTCAGAAAGGCTTCGATACTCTCTATCAAGGAAGTAATCTAACCAAAAGCTCAAGCTTGTAGTCAAGAAAAAGATTTATAGCCTCTAACATGGTTCGATTATCACATAATGATCTAAAAAGTGTTAGACAATCTTTAGTCAATTTAGGGTCGCACGACAATGTCACAATGAACACGGAAAACAATACAAAAAGATTGAAATTCGATCAACCGATTAGCTTATCCTACTCAAAATGTTATGAACTTACCTCTTTCTCTCTCTTCAAACAACACTTGTGTTCAGGGTTGTTCTCAGGTTGCTCATTAGCATTAATTGCAGCTATCATCGTTACTATCCGTGCTAGAAATCTTCTTGAGCATGAAGGGAGTGGTCAGTTTATGGAAAACATATTTCCACTTTACAGGTCTGTTCTTGCACAAACTAGTATCTTTTTCTCCTTTTACTGCTTGCATTCTGATTTATAACATTCATTAAGGATCTGTTTGGAGCCTGGAAAATGCTAGGAAATATAAACATGTACAATTAAAACAACAATAAACCCGGTAAAGCCCCATAAAAAATAGGGTCTGGGGAGGGTTTGTGTAGGGCGACCTTACCCCTACTATGAATGAAGTAAAGAGACAGTTTCCAAGAGACCCTGGCTCAGAAATAGAAGTACGAACAAAAAAACCACAGATGCACGAATGAAGAACAAATAAGAACAACAGAAGCATAGAAACTGACTCTAAGAATTAGCCATAAAGCACAAATAATACACAAGCGCACACTATAGACTTAGGGAAAAAACACACCAGCATACACTAAAAACTCGGGCCCGCAAACTAAGAAATATAAACATGTTTAATGGTTTTTTAAAATAGTCATATTTAAGTTTCCACATGATAAACAACACTTTAAAGCATTTTAATTCCTTTCATTATCATTCTTATGTTCCAAACATAACAGAATACTGATGAGATGCATCGACTTGTGTTTATAGCTTATTTGGATTTGTAGTCCTACATATGCTAATGTATGGTGCGGACATCTTCTGTTGGAAGAGATGCCGTATAAATTACGCCTTCATATTCGGCTTCAAGCAAGGGACAGAACTTGGCTACCGAGAAATCCTCCTCCTCGCTTCCGGCATCTCTGTTCTTGCTTTAGCTGCTGTCCTCTCGCACTTGGATATGGAAATGGATCCAAAAACAAGAAGTTTTAAGTTGCTTACTGAGTCGGTCCCACTCGCGTTGATTAGTGTAAGTGTGAAAGTCTAGTAATTCTTTAGCTTCTCATAATTAGAGATTGGAGTGCAGCCTTGATAGTTTCATTTATGATTGTGTGAGTCTAAATAGGTAAAGCCTTGGCAGATACCTACCATAATCTAGGAAACAAGATTCCTTATATCAGGTATTAACTAAAATCGAATAAGACTACTACGAATGGGAAATTGACAGTAATAGTAATAATAATATTGTTATAATAATAATAATAATAATAATAATAATAATAATAACCATATCAGAGTTGTGACTACTATTTGGTTGTGACCTATTTACACCTTACTTTTGTGTGACCCCGTAATAATTATCTTGTGTTGTGATTTTTCCAGGTTCTACTTGTCTTAACATTCTGCCCTCTCAACATCGTGTATCGTTCTAACCGTTTCTTCCTCATTGGATGTGTATGGCGTTGTGTATGTGCACCTCTTTATAAGGTATGTATGTATGTGAATCCACACAATTTGGGACAAATCATAAGAATCTAAGGGCTAGCTGCAAGTGTTATTTGGCTGATTTCTCTGATAGACAAAACTGTTTAGTATAAAATCAATTGTTGTCTATTGAGTCAAAAGCTACACTTTTTTTGTTCTCACTGGTTTGGGGTTTCGAAAGTCAAAAGCTACTTATGTTGCTTATAAACAGATTAAGGGAAATAGGTTAGAACAGGCAACCAAACGGAGACTAAAAGTTAAAAAGTACATTCTAACATCATCTGAAATTCTGTGGTTTGACAGGTCACGTTACCCGATTTCTTCTTGGCAGATCAACTTACCAGCCAGGTTTGAATCGTTTTAGCTTATTCCTCAGATCCTATAGCATATAACTTTTCAAGTAATAAGCTTATTTTAAGCTATTAACTTCTTACTCAGTTGAAGTAATGACTTGTTATGAGTTTAAAATAAGCTATCAGCTCCTACATTCAACCTACCAACCATACACTAAGACATCCATCAACCTTTTATGGGCATTTTTGTCAAATGGAGCTGAAAAGCTCCATGGAAAGCCGATAGTTCAGTGGCTTTGAGCCGAAAGCTGTAATTGGTGGTGAAGATGTTTGGCAAGGTTAATTGAGCTGATTCATGTAAAAAGACATAAAAGGACATTCTCAATGTTGATTACAGACGAATAATCAATAGAGATATAAGCTTTAACTAAGAGCTTATTCTAAGCTACTTTATTCTAGTCACCAAACAGGGCTAATTGTGCTTAAAATAAGCTAAACGCTTTTAAATTTCAGGTTCAGGCCATTAGGAGCTTTGAATTCTATATCTGTTATTATGGATGGGGAAACTTCAGAAAAAGATCAAACAAATGTCAGCAGAGCGATGTCTATGAAATCTTTTACATAATTGTAGCAGTCATCCCATACTGGGTTCGGTTACTTCAGGTATGTATCGCCAACCAGCGCAATGATCATTAATTAATTTATTCTTAAACAAAGGGTGAAAGGGCTAACCTTGGATGATGATGGTGGTGGTGATGATAATTTTATAGTGCCTTCGTCGCTTGTTTGAAGAGAAAGATCATAGTCAGGGGTTAAATGGTATGAAATACCTTTCAACAGTGGTTGCTCTGGTGCTAAGGACACTGTATGACCTCAAGAAAGGAACAACAATGAGAGTTCTTGCCATTATCTTCTCGGGAATTACCACAATTGCCAATACCTATTGGGACATTGTTAGAGATTGGGGTCTGTTCCAAAGACATTCCAAGAACCCTTGGTTGAGGGACAAACTCCTCGTTTCAAACAAGGCAATCTACTTTGTTGCAATTGTAAGTATAATAAATCAACATATAAGACATTGAAATAGTCTTAATAGAGTGGGGTTCTTTTGACACCAATCATGGCCTCATGGGTGTCATAATAATGATAATATGACACCCATATGCCATTTGAGGGCCCTACAGGAGTAGGAACTATTTTTGGGTAGAACGAAGCATAGTAGGACCTTCAAATGGCATGTGTGTCATATTATGACACCCATGAGTAGGTGTCAAAAGAACCCCACTCATCTTAATATTGGGCTACCTTTGTGACGAAAGACTAAATCCGGTAGCCCTTCATATTTAAGTTCAAATGAGCAACTCGATCATGTTAAACATAAACAGTTGTGGACATGTTAACTTTGTGGAATTCCTCATGGTATTTATTACTACAATATGAATGCAGGTCATAAATATGATTTTGAGGCTTGTATGGATGCAACAAGTTCTAGATTTCAATCTGCCATTTCTTCATAGAAAAGCCACTGCTGCACTTGTTGCTTGTCTGGAAATCATTCGTCGCGGCATTTGGAACTTCTTCAGGTGAGTATAGTACGTAGCCAATAGCCAGCCACAATATACCGCCCATATAGGCCAACTATGAATATGAAATTCAATGTAAAAGAATGTTCATTGATGGAGTCTGTTTTCACTGCACAGATTAGAGAATGAACACCTGAATAACGTTGGAAAATTTCGAGCATTCAAGTCTGTGCCCCTTCCATTTAGCCATGAAGACAACAAGAGCATATAGATTATTCTATATGAAATGTCAATTCATAATTCATTGCAGAGCTTGGCATGCTGATCTATTGAGTCATTACAGTAACAACTATCCAGTATAATACAACCTTCATTGGGGTCTGGGTGATAAAGATGTAAGCAATCTTACTGATAGAAAAATACAGAGAGACTGTCTCCGTTAGTCCCTTGATGCATTGTTGCATTTACTATCTAAAACTTCATCAAAAGTAAGAAGCAATGTATCATTTTGATCTAGTCCATTATTTATCCGAAGCTATAACATTGTTAATTATGACTCTTTTAGGCAATTTAGCTCCATTAGCTGCCTTGATCTATTGAGTCATTGTTGAGCTATAAATTTTCATAGTTTTGTTCTGACTACATGACCTGAAAAAAATCTCCTTTTAGAACTGTGCCAAGCCTCTGCTTACGCACTTTTGACCTGTTATATTTAAGGTTACGGTTCTCATTTTATTAAACAGAAGGCCAAAACCGGAGGTCCCAATGACGAAACTATGACTGCTTTAGAAAAAGACTAAATAATGACTTCACTGGAATTGGAGCCTTCAGTCCTAAGAACTGGAAGAAGGATTTTCCCCCACGATTCCGTTAAAGGTTCCAATTTTTCGGCAAGTAGAACATACCGGTTCAGAATCAAAACCAATTTGGACTATAACCTTGTATATTCTTACAATCAATTGCTTGCTTGGCGACTAACGCTTCTTGGGACGTGGAAATTAACACATAAGATCAAAGGCTTTTAACAGAGCAGAAGGGAAAATGAGTAACTGCACAACACTCCTCACCCCCCCCCCCCACCCTACCAAATGAAGATAAGATGCAGGCAAAACAAGATCATTTTGTACACTTCACAGGGATACAATGGATCAAATCAAAATCAACGGCTATTTACTCACAACCACTTTTTTATAAGAACCAACTTTAAAAAAAAAGAGAGAAAAGATGGTATGGCACACCTGAAGATTTGCCCTCCCCTAAAACTACATCAGCTAGCACTTATTGCAGAGAACCCATACCATGTCTCGGAATCAAAAAGCTAGAAAAAAAAGGGGTTTCTATTTGGAGGAATGGGAAACCTCTGCATTCTGAGTTGCCTCTTCGCCATCCCGGGAGACAAACATGGTCTCAGAGTCAGAAGAGTTCTCTGCAGTCACAGAACCCGTACTGTCATGATCTTGATCCGCCAGCAGAGATGAAAATGACAGTGGATTTGAAGTTGAGCTTGCCTTCCGTAGGCCTTGTATGGCTCTGATTGCAGCAAGCGTACTCCGATATATGCCCACGTTTTCCTCTCCAAGCTGTAATTTAGTAGCTCTAGAAATGTTTGATGCATTTGAAGAGGAAGCTTCTGGATGGTCACGTACAGTAGGAACAGATTCAATAACTTCTGCTTCCAAAGGAAAGAGAAGCTCGAGGTTTGCCTCACACTCACGAACTAATCTGGTAAGCGGTTCGGTTGTGAAGAAGGGCTGATGAACAGCATACTGTGTAAAAGGTAGGCGCAGCAACTCCCCAGTTCGTTTATCATACTTTTTGAGGATTTTCACAAGTCCTAGTGATTATTGCAAAAGCATGTTTCAGGAATACACCATAACAGCATCAATATGTGTAGTGGGAAGTTTGTTTGGATGGAGACCTTATTGAAGAGTTTTCACTATATTAACCGAAATGGCTCCACATTTTCCCAGTTTCCGTCGTTTTGGGGGGGTTCTTATTTTCCTTTATTTTCTGTCACTTTTTAAAAGCCAAAAAGGTTCTACAATATAATTGTTGTATATTTAGATTAATACAGAGTATATTTAAATGACAACAAAAATCATAAAGGTGTCAAATACAATATTTTACATATGTTTTTAAAAATATTCTAGCACAAACCAAACAATTTTCCCAGCCACCTCAAATTCCCTCCCCTCCACTCCCTTCATTCCTCTCTTTCGCACCACACAATGGCTCAATGTTCCTTTATTAGTAAAAAAATAAAACATGGAAAAAGAAAATGAGGAAGCATAAACTTTACCTGCAAAATTTAAGGAGCTATAATTCTGGAGTAGGACCATCTGCCCATGTATGGCAACAAAATCTTTACGTATATCTATCATTTCTTCACTGAATTCACTCTCGGATGTGAAAGCTGCATCTCTTCCGCTCTTCTCCTTCACCCGCTCAATCCTTTCCTTCAATTCCTGTGCAACAATAGTCAGCTTCAAATTTTATAGTTAAAGATCCCATGTTCTTCAAATTTTGATCCCATAGGCTACTTTTAATTATAAAGCATATTAAGGAGGTTAAATAATACTCCCTCCGTCCCCCTAAGATCTTCTCATTTTGACTTTTTGTGATTTTTAAGGAGAGTTGAAAAAAGTTGAAAGTTTACCAAAATACCCTTAATGAAAATGGTGGGGTGTATTAAACAAGGTGGAAAAGGTGTAATAAATAAAGTAAGTGAGGGTAGTTTTGGTATTTTAAATGTTAAAAAAGGTAATGAGAAGATCTATGTGGGACAAATAAAAAGGCCTAATGAGAAGATCGAAGGGAGTAACCCACAAGGCTTTATTGCATATATTGTAATGGACACTATGACAACCTAATGAAGAACACAACGGCATAACTTAAATTAAAACTTTAAAAGGGTCCTGCAAAAATCTCCAAGGAAAATTCAGAAGGTCATTAGTGTTTAATGCATCAATCCTCATTAGTAGTTTAGTACATGCAGGCATGTCAGTAAAATAAGGGTGTCACTTTGCACCCAGCTGGTCTCCTACTGTCCCCTAAACCCACAAAAGTATGGGCTAACATCTCGATGGATTTTGTAGAAGGCCTCTGCAGCACAAGGGAAAGACAACACAACACCGCTTGTGGCTGTGGATTGAATTTCGAAATATGCCCATTTCATGCCCCTAGCACACCCTTATACCGCACCATCCATGGCTGCGCTTTTCTTCAAAGAAATGGTTTGTTAGCATACCATTCCATTGCCCATTGTCTTCGATCAGGACTCCATTGTTAGAAAAATAATATGAAGAACAAATCAAATGCAGAATAGAATTCTGATTTTTTGTATTGTGAACTACATACAGGAATTCTATGTTCCTGGAGTATTTATTGACAGCAACCAACACAACTATTGGTACTAATCAACACATCTATTACTAACAAATACAACTTCCAGAAATAACTACCTATAACTTCCAGAAATAACTACCCATAGGCCATAACTGTCCCTTTTATTTTTAAAATTTAAATCTAAACTAACTTTTTGACCAAGAATTAAACAATACGATTAAATCTAACAATCACCCCCTAACTGTTGTTTGTTCACACCAATCTTCACAATAATGTTGGTTCATCATCATCTTCAATCAAATTTGCAATGTCTTCCTTTTGATCCCATTTTGGACATTTGTGCAAAAAATGTCCTAACTCATTGCATTTGAAACACTTAATGTGACTACTATCCCGCTGAAACCGACCACCATCCTGACCTTTCCCAGACCCCCGACCTCTACCTCGGCCACGCCCAAAGTCTTCTCGGTTGAGCTCTAGCAACCACAATGCTCACATTTGTGCTCCTGAACCTTCTCGTTTCCATCACTTTTAGTGAATAATAGTTTACCATGTGTATCTCCTTCCTCGGTTGGCTTTCTTATGCGTTCCTTGAATGCTTTCAATCTTCCCACCGCTCCTTGAAACGGCATTGTGTTAATGTCAGCAAACTGTTCAATTGCAGCAACAATCTGTATGAACTTAAGTCCGTGTCTTGGGTTTTCGAAAGCTTGGTTAGAAAACAGAAGTTTACGTCTGGGTTCCAACAAACGAACACAACGTTCAACTGATTAAAATGGTCGTTTTAGTAGTTCACTGAGTAACAAGAAGTAGAAATCTCAGAGTTTTAGACTAAGTTCACAGACATTAGCGCGGCGAAATTGGGACAGTTCACCAACGAAGTGAGTCTTCAAAGCATCCCAAATTTCTTTTGCTTCAGTAAACTGAGCAACTTGTAGTACGATCTCTTCTGGAAAAGCTTGAAACAGATATGTTATTGCCAAATTGTTCTTCTTTGGATCGATTTATGTTCCTAGATCGATCACCTCCCAAATCCCATTAACATTAAAAATTGCTTTGATCTTCACGGCCCAAATAGTGTAGTTTGTAGCAGTTAGAATTGGAACCTGAAAAGATAGTGAACTATTTTCCCTTGTAGTCACAATCTGTCTGTTGTCTTCCATTGCACGACTTTAATTCCTTTGACAATTTTCACAAAATTCTTAGACTTTGATTCCTTCGTTGATCGTACACCTGCAATCGACCATCAACTAGAAAACAAGCCCCTACTTTTTCGTGTTCCAAGCCACTAAACGAAAGCTACCCCGCTGATTCGTTTTTCTCGCACTGTTTGGTTGGAATGCTTCTACCAAAGGAAAAAACTAGCCACTTGCTATTCTTGTCCTAGGCGAGGAAGAATCTTGTCGAAGATTTTTGATCTATTGTCAAGGAAGTCTTTAATGCTCCGTTATACGATTTGGCAGATCTTCCTTTTCTTTTCGTTGATCGCACACGCTCCGATACCAATTGTTAGAAAAATAATATGAAGAACAAATCAAATGCAGAATAGAATTTTGATTTTTTTATTGTGAACTACATACATGAATTCTATTTTATGTTTCTGTAGTATTTATAGACAGCAACCAACACAACTATCGGTACTAATCAACACATCTATTACTAACTAATACAACTTCCAGAAATAACTACCTATAACTTCCAGAAATAACTACCCATAGGCCATAACTGTCCCTTTTATTTTTAAAATTTAAATCTAAACTAAGTAACTTCTGACCAGGAAATAAACAATACGATTAAATCTAACATCCATCACTCGGTTCTCCAGAATCAATTTTGGCAAAAGTTGTTTCACTTTTGTGGAACTAAGTTATCCTTTTCAACTGCCTACCACAACCAGTCCAGTGGGAAAACTGAGATAGTGAATTACACCTTAAATATGTATATGTGTCGTGTCACTTGCATTTATCTATATTATCTTTATGTCTCTCTTTTGAACCCTCACAATACTCTGTTTCAAGGTTACATTATTTCTCTGATTCTCTCCTAAGTCCTAATATTCGGCATGATTGTACTCCTATTTGAGAAGCAATACGACTTTCCAAACGCCATGGAAAATGCCTATATACATTTACATATCATAATACAACTACTCATGGTTGAATCAATTCGAATTGTTAAAGAGGACAATCTTCTTCTTCTTCCCTTCTAGCCATGGGTGAAAACGAAGACTCGATAATAGACCTTGAGCACGGTCCTGGAGTAACGCTAGTAAGACATACCATTAGTATACAGCTCATGTATAGACCATCTCTACATTACCATAGCAACATACACCAGTTCTCTTTTTTAGCTCATTCACTGAGCCCACCATCTTCTACTCTCATCTTATGAAAATATACCATTTTAAAGAGTTCTTCTTTATGCAACCTGATATAATAAAATGATTGCAGAAAAAAATAATCTACAGAAAAGAAGAAAACTGATGGAAGCATACCAGCAATTAAAATTTAGGTTTGATGTCAGAGTTTCCTTGATTTTTGGTAAGCAAATTATTCAAAGTATTTGCATATCCAATATCATTTTTTGTACAGAGTAACTTTTTATGATTGCTGGTTTTTTCTTTATAGAATGCTTATTTCTCATTTGCACATATTGGATTGAGGATTATCAACTACATCCAGATTCATTATTTACAAATTATATACATATCCGGAGACATTATATATATGTATGGCAAACAGAGAAAATGCTGATTATTTTGCCAACTATGAAGACATAAAATTTACAGAGAGCAATAAATATAAAGGAAAAGCAAACCTGAAAGCGAATAATGAATTCTTCCTCTTGCTCGACGTAGAAATCGTTGAACTTTTCGAGATCTTCGCGGAGCAATCGAATGAACCAGTCATGGAGGTCGACAGGCTGCGGTGGTCGGAAGCTGTCTCCGCCGGCGCCGGCGGCCGCGTGAGGGTTCACGGAGGGAGAGGAGGGGGCAGGGAGGGACTTGAGCAGCTTCTTGAAGTGCTTGTAGCGCAAGTATTTGTCCCTCCATTCCGGAAGGGTTTCTTCCAAGTGTTCCTTGAACTCCTTTCCGAACTTCATCTCCTCCAAACTAATCCGATCAGTTTCAGATAATCCACCAACAAACAATAACCTCGAAGAAATTGCAGCAGCGACAAATTAATCAATTTTTTTGGCAAAATTACCAATAATTGGTGCAAGATAAGTGGATAACTGGTTTCTTCCAAAATTCTAAAAATAAGAACTTTATTCCCTGTAAAAAAAGAAGGTATATGGTACAATCGGATTTACAGTACATCCGGATTGTATTCGTTCTGAAGTGGAATAATACTCATTCTCGTACAAATATAATTAGCGTGGTACTCATTCTAAAATAATGCAGTACTCATTTTCACACATTATTTTAATATAATTATAATATTCATCTACAAATAATGTAGTGTTCATTCAGAAACAAAACAGTATTCATTCTCAAATAACTTAATGTTCATTCTTATGTCAAATAAAATTCATATCATAAATAATTTTTTGGTTGTACCCAAAATTAAATACAATCAGATTTTAAAAATTTAAAAAAAATCCTACCAAATCCTAATTCAATACACCCCCTTGACACGGAGTTTGATGGATCGGATATCGAATATCCATGTATGGAGAGAAGGACAAAAAGCTAATTAATAAACTTAAGAAAGATCTTTAATGATCACATGCTCGTGACAAGAAATTTATAGAGAATAGTAATCTTTAAAAGACAGAAAATAAGTTAACTACTAATCTCGAAGACATAATGAAGCGGGTGCAAGAGTTCAACAAAGCAAAAGATATTCTTGAACGCATCATTCATAATGGAAAAACTAACAAGAATATCCTTAATTACACAAGTGGAACTACATATTCTCATGTTATGATTGGAACTATATCTTACACATCTGCCAATTATTTTAGACTATTTAATTCATATCAAAATGAAAAGTTATCACGGCGCATTATTGCTTGTGTGTAGAAGCGAAGGTTTCTTGTGAGAGAAATAAGATTATGGCGATCAATTGGAAAAGGTTTGAACTTCAGGCAAAGTTTATGACAATATATCGATACTCATATATTGTTGCACGTATTTCTTTTGTTTATTTTTAATTAACTATCGTGATTTTCATGGTACATCAAAATGCGAATAAATATGAACATATATATTTTTTATTTCTGTTTTATCGAGTACATCTCAAAAGTTAGAATAAATAATTAAAAAATAATAGATAGTGAGTGTTTTTTATTGGCCAGAAAATAAAAGGAGAGGCTACTTTTTTGGGTTTGGAGCAAAGTATTTGTAATGGGCCAATAATGTTTTGAATCGAAACCCATGTCCTACTATATATATATATATATACACACACACACACTACCGTCGGGGACTATGTAATTGATGAGAAGTTAATGCTAGTTTTCACGTTGCCAAATGATCCACCCATCCTTGTTGTTTAACAACGACACCACCTTTATCGTCCAGCCTCGACATTCACAGGTTATTAATTCACAGCCTGGCTGGCTTCTTTAATTCATTGCATAATAATAATAATAATAATAATAATAATAATAATAATAATAATAATTCATTAAACCATTCTTCTTTTTTATTTTACTTTTTCCTATTTTTTTAAATTTTGCTTTTAAAGAAAACAAGAAAACGAGAAGACATGATGAACTAAACGGAGGGAAATAAAATTTATCCCATTTTAGAGAGAAAAATATTTTATTTTCTTTTTTTCTTCTTAATTTCTTTAATTAAACATCGTGTTAAATTTATTTTAAAATATATTTTGCATATAATATAAATAGTTTGCTTATATGAAGTACTCCGTATAAAGCTAATACAGAAATATTATTTAAAAATTTACTTTTATAAAATTACATGTAATTTTTATTAAAATATATGATCTTCGTCCCACAAAACTTATTTTGATATAAGTTTCATATTTTTATTCTTATTTAGCTATATTTTTTCCATCTAAACAGATTCTAGGTGTCACATATTCTGTATTTTTTAGTTTTCAACACTTTTCCAAGTTATCGGGGTAAATTAAATCATTAATTTTAATTTCAGACGAGGGAAGTATATATTTAACAACAAAAGGAGGCATGTATCCCTTAGCTTTTGCTCACGCCCCATAACACATTACCTCACATCAGGATTAATTTTATGCCACTGAATAAAATCAACATGCTATATATACCTGGGACATACATTTTAGCTTCAATTATATTGTTGTGAATATGATCGCACTAGAAAAATTTAAATGGTATCTTATTAATTAATTAATATCAATATAAGAGTATTGATATTAACAATGTTACTCTTGTAGGATTTAACTGATTTGTTGTTGTTGTATCAATATAAGAGTATTAACAATGTTAGTTATCAAATTAAATGACTTGCCTCCGTCCTAAAACTAACGCAACACAATATAAGAGCACTAACGCCACACATTTCAAGTTTTCAACTAATCCTTCCGTCCTAAAACTAACGCCACACAATATAAGAGCACTAACGCCACACATTTCAAGTTTTCAACTAATCCCTCCGTCCTAAAATTAACTTCTCATTTAACTTTTCAAGGTCTCCAATTCGACACTTTAATCATTAATATCTCAATTTTTATATAAATATATTTTATAAAAATTATATATTTCAAAACCATGTTTCAAAATTAATCTATTGCTAATAAATTTATATGAAAATTCAATGTATTTTTCTACAATATACGGTCAAAGTTTAAAAAATTTGACTACAAAAGTCAAAGTGAGAAGTTAATTTTAAGACAAATGGAGTAATAAAAAACAATAAAGGACAGGCACAAAATGATAAGTGAGTTGACTCACTTGAGTGACATATTTTAAAACAAAAACTTATGAAATTCATATTTAATTTGCAATCGAAAATCGGCAGAATATATTTTTTTCCCTATAAATGAATACTTATGAAAATCATACGGGCATTTAATTCGCAAACAAAAAATCACATCTCGGGAATTGTTTCAGTTGTGTCCCGTTACAAAACACAATTAATAATACACATGCGCGCATGAACATTTCATGACATTGATTATGGGACATTATTAAATATTAATACACATGGTTTTCATTATTGATCCACCCAAGGCATGCTAATTAAAATTATAATCAAAGACACACAAATTCAATTTTTTATTTCCAATCTATTGGAATTAACAATATGAGTATCCTACATAATACAAAAAATAAAATGAATCAAGATTTGTTATTTAAAGTAGACTTTTAACAAGACGTGATTGGAATTAATTACGGAGTAATTTTTTTTGTTCAAACAATGACACTACGTACATCATTATGATATTTTCTAACTTCTAAAACATAGGCGAATCCAAAGGTGAAGAATTCACCAAATTAAGTATGCTATCCCAGTAATTCTTGTTATCTTCATAACACTGCCCGGCCCCGTCGCCGACGTTTACCGTCTCCGTGCTTCCGGCCTCCGACAAGCTCCGTTCATCCGCCGAGCTCGCACTCAGCAGAAGATCCGTGAACCGCTCCACGAAGTTCCCGCCGGAGGCGTGGTCTTCTGGCCACCCCGGCGCGAACTCCGTGCCCGGCTTGTACTCTGGCGGCGACTGCACCGCCTCCGGGATTCCGGCAACGTGCTGCGGCAACACATTGCCGGAATAGCTGAGCGTCGAAGTCGGGGACTCAATCGAGTCCCCGAGTCCGACTAGGGTCCCACCTCCCCATGCGAGACAGGGGAGGGAGGCGGGTTGTGAGGGGACGAGGAGAGGAGTGCCGCCGGTGGAAGGGGAGCGGAGGCGGGACTGGCGGGCGAGGCGGGCTTCGGCTTCGAGGCGGGCGCTCTCCCACTGAGCCATGTGGCTGAGCTTGGCAGCGCTCTTGGAGTTGGCGCCGTCGTAGGCGGCGGAGGAGGAGGAGAGGGCGTCGTTCTTGGGCTTGTGGGTCACGGGGTCGATTCCCATTTTGGCGAGACGTTTCTTGAGGTGGGTATTCCAGTAATTTTTGATCTCGTTATCTGTCCGCTTCGGCAAGTGAGTGGCAATCGCCGACCACCTGAGACCCACCCAAATAACCAATTCAATTCCATTTATCAAACAATTTCAATTTGTATGCAATCAAATTTGATTTTAAAAATTCTAACTAGAATAAATATATGATATTATTCCATTTGTATATCAGACAAACACAGATAAATATAGACATTTAATGGCTATTGATCACACTTGGTGAAATTTGCGCCGAATATGAAAGTCATTTCTCAATGTAGGACTTAAATTTTTTTATTTCCTAAATAGGACTTAACAATGACTAGTGAGAAGAATAATGTTCAAGTGATGCTGAACATTTAGTTGAATAATGACTAATAGATAATGACCAATGGTCTTACATTGGAAAATAAAAACATATGGTCCTATTTTGAGAAAGTCATTATGTTTTAGTCCTATTTAAGTAAATTACTCAACAGACAAGTACTTTATTTGCCCTACAAAATTTTTCTGGTTTGACTTTTAAAAGATTTAAGAAAAGTGTATTTTGGTGTTCACTTTTCAGAAATATTTTTGGATGTGATGAGGAATATTAAGGTAAATACTTTATTTGTCCTACAAAATTTTTCTAGGTTTGACTTTTAAAAGATTTAAGGAGAGTGTATTTTGATAATCATTTTTCAAAAATATTTTTGGATGTGATAAGTAGACTAATAGTGAAAAATGTGATGTGATAGGCGTGCTAAGAATAAGTAAGGATAAAAACGAATTTTTTTAATAAAAATGAAAAATATTTTTTTGGAAAGATCAAACCATAACAAAGAAAAGTTTTGTGGGACAGAAGTAGCAATAAATTCATTTTAGATTCCTGAGTTGTTCCCCAATATCTTCTGCTCACCATAGTGACCTTTAAAATAATGAATTTTCCAGATATATTATTGACTTTTAGGATGAAATTTAAATTTTTTAATGCTCCATATATATGATCTAGAGCTGTTTTTGAGGATAAAACTGCAAAAAAGAAGAGGAGAGGGAGAAAGAAGATAGGAAGATGATGAAGAAGAAGACGGACCGGTTTCCGAGGAGGGCGTGGAGTTGAATAATGGTTTGCTCTTCTTGGAGACTGAATTTCCCCCTCTTTATGTCCGGTCTCAGGTAATTCGTCCACCTCAGCCTGCAGCTCTTCCCGCACCTCTGCAGACCTATCCACACAGACACACCCACGGTCAAAAAAACCTAACCAAAAGCTCAAACTTGTGATTGCGGCGGGCCAGAAAGGCAGCTGGCCTACGTACCGGCTTTGGCGGGGAGGGCACGCCAGCTGCCGTGGCCGTGTTGCTCAACGTAGGCCAGAAGCTTCTGGTCTTCCTCCGGGGTCCACGGCCCCTTCTTCAGCCCCACTTTATCGCAGCACGGCGATCGCCCCATGATGATGATCCGGTCCGGCCCCTTCTTCAGCCCCGCCGCCGACCAAACCCGTTGACGTCGATCCGGGGGGATATATGAGTTGACTATGAAGAGGATGAAGAGAGAAGGATTGTATGTAGTAGTGGCTTAGAGTGAGTGAGGGAGTGGCCGTGGGAGGAGGTGAGGCAAGGGGCCGGGGTATGAAGAGATGGGGGGGAAGGGGTAGAATAAATAACGGAGAGGGCGCCGCGCGGCGGGGGAGAAAGGTCAGCGACATGTGTTTAAATGAGTGCATGTGACGACCCTATACCTAGTCCTAGTAGAAGTAGTGCCCTTTCTTCTTCTTTCCTCTATATATTAACTAGGGTTTGCGTCGTACCGATACCGTGCTAAATATTTCGATTCGTTATGAAATTTTATGTTTTGTCGATCTCAATCTCGAAATATCAGTTCGGTATGATTCGTATGGGTTTCGGTACAAATCAGAATGAATATATATGTACCTAGTTTACATCATAAAATGTAAAAAAACCTTTTATTTTTGAAAAATAGAAAGTACATTTAATCAAAGAAAGAAAAAAAATTTAAAAATGAAAAGATAAGATGCAAGAAATGCTTATAAAAATTAGTTTATACGGAGTATTTCCCAAACTAAATAGAGAGTGATAACAAAGTATCATTTCAAATATTTGTTAATATTCTTATACTCATCTAAAAAAATAAAAAACTCTTATTAAAGTGCAACTTAAACATAATGAAATTAAACTAAATTGTCTGTATAAATTTTTTAGTTAATGAAGAAATATAAAAAGATTATTATGTTTTATAATATATTACTAGGGGAAGGTTTCCATGACATTGGTTCCCAATGTCATGGAAACCAAGGGGTATATTACTATATATGTTTGGTTCGGGAATTTTAGTATGGGAAGTAACCTCGTACCATTCCTGAATACCAGACCGATCGTTTGGCTCACTATGGTTCGGTTTATTGTCGGTACTTTATCGGTTCGATATTTTTCGGTTTGGCATTCTCGAGTTTTCGGGAAATATCGGGATCGGTTCGGTCCTTGCTCACCCCTAATATGGACTTCTATTCTCTTCCATCCCAAAAAGAATTTTATATTATGTAAAACATGATATAAAATTTTATACTCCGTAAGTTTTTCTTATTTTCCAATTTTTGAACGGTGAAGTGTGCTACTTTGTCAACTCTTAAATTAATTGCCTGCTCATAATTCCTTCGCTATGTACACACTTTATATAATCACATTTCTACATTATGTTTCTTACATAGCTCGTTGTAGTTTATAAGCTTTGACTAAAGTTATTTTCAAATCAATTTATTTGAAAATTGGTACGTATGGAATTTAAAAATAAAATTTATATAATTGAAAATTATATTAAAAGTTCTGCAAAACAAGATGTGACAAGATTATATTATTTTTTCTCAAATGGGTAGCCAAAAAGGTAAAGAACATCGTTACAATGTGATGCTGAATAGAATCACAACGTATGATAAAAGAACAGATCAAGACATTGGGAGAAAAACCTTCTACAAGGTTTATTCGTATCAATGAAAAATAATCTAGACTAAATAAAACAGCCACACACCAGGCTTTTATAGCTGAAAACTATATATAAAACATCCACCCTAAAATGATAAAAAAGGTCCAAGATAACAAAAGTGAGAATTTAATGATCTAAACCGTAGGATTGGGGGTCGAAGACCAATCAAGTCACTGCGCGTCTCGCCAAGACCTTTCTGAAAAGGGATAGACTGTTGAAATCGGACACTCGTAAATGTTATGGCCTAAACATTAGAGCGACCAAAATGCTTCAATTTCTTCCAACCCTTGGGCTTATCTTGCCTTTTCATGGTAAAGAAGTATCAGATTAGTCGAATTCGACAGTTCACTCATGTTCAAATCACCTGCTCCTGCATCATATTGTTATACTTATACTTCTTTCGTCCCTAAAAGATTGCCATAGTTTAATTTTTTGTTAGATTGTGATACATTTTGAGCACAAATAAATATTGTTTAAATTTTTAAATATTATAAAATTTTATATTTTAAAGCAATATTTTAAAATAAGCTAAATTTTATTAAATTTACATTATACCTAAACATACTTTTCTAATAATTTTCGATCAAAGAGTGTCACAATTTGACAAAAAAAGACAAATTGTAACAATCTTTTAGAGACAGAGACGGATGCACTATGTTTAATTATCTCCATGTCTATGATAAAATTATAAAAAAAAATACATCACGGATTATTTGGTTTCTCTTTCTGTGGGTCATACATTACACTATACTCACAAATAACATTTTTTTCATTACAAAAGAAAATGAACTATTCACAAATTATTAAGAGTTACTTTTTCAGTGTCTAAAAGATAGTCACAGTTTGACTTTTTGATTAAACTATGACACCTTTTGACCACACATTAAATACTTCCTCCGTCCCAAAAAGATTTACACCTTTTAAAAAAATTGTGTCTCACAATCTCCTACCCATTTCTATTAAAAACCCACTTTTACCCTTTATTTTTTCAAACCCTACCTATCACATCATACCTTTTTCCTAATAATCTACACATCACATCCTACTTTTACCCATCACATCAAGGGTATTTTTGGAAGGTCAACTCAAAATTATCCCTCCCTTAATTTCAACTTTAGTCAAAACGTGTAAATCTTTTTGGGACGGAGGGAGTATAATTTAAAATGATTAAATATTATAGAAATTAATATTTTAAAATTATATTATAAAATAAATCTAATTTTTCTATATTTACATTATAACTAAATATTTTTTTTATAATTCGTAATCAAAAAGGTATTACAATTTAATTAAAAAAAAAGTCAAACTTGACAATGGAGTATTACAAATGGGGACAAAGCATCAAAATAAATTTGCATAGTATATTAGTATGTGGACAATATAAACGTGGAAGCGTGATAATTTATTCATTGTTTGGTCCAAAATCATACAATAAGGCATCCCACTGGCACTTGTACTGCAACAATAATAATTGAGCTGATGAATTTATTTGTCTAAGCATTTAATTGCTCATTTTATTTCATTAAATCCAAGGTTTAAATGTATTACATTTCACATGTTAATAGTACTTTGATATTATTGTTTAATTAAAAAATTGCAACAAAATAAATAAGTAAAAAATTATGATTCTCTGAAATGCGAGATTACATTTCACATGTAAATAGTACTTCAATATTAATGTTTAATTAAAAAAATATTAAAATATAGGCTAATAATAATGTAGAAATATTAATTAATACTCCGTATTAAATAAAATTACAACATTACTTATGTTATTTGCGAGGAGGTGGTAAAAGGACAATATTACTTGCGGAGTATTTGATGGTCCTTTTATATAAAATTACATCAAATACTCTATATATAAAATAAGTGGTGATGTGATTACGTTATTTTCTCAAATGATTAACGAAAATGAGTAAGAAAAATAAAAAAGTTTGACCATTGAATAGTGAAACAAGACCATAATTTTGATATGGGGGAACTATAATTAACAAAACATACAAATATAATACCTATGTAATTTAATATATCTTGTAAAAAGTCATTTGTTATATTGTTTAACAATGTTTTCTTTTTAAAATTTATCCTTAACACTGAATTAAACAATTCTGCCTGTTAAAAAAAACAATTGTGCCTATGGTGTAGTGAAAGTGATTCATAAATCTCACGTTATAGTAACAATAATTTTAAAATTAATGTTTTGTAAAGAAATAAATAGGGAATAAATAATTAGGCAAAGTGAGAATGGAGATGATGATGTGGCACAAGACCAGTCAGTGATGAGTTGAGGCAAAAAAAAAATATCATATTCAGATGAGGCAAAACATTAAAAATAGGGTGTATTAAAAACTGAATTCAAATTAACCTAAAAATTCTAATTTCATAAGAAAAAGCAAACTAGAAATGTTCCCTCCGTCCTCTAATTATTTTTAAAAAATAATAAAACAAGAGAAAAATACAAAAAATATATCTAGAAATAGAAGTTTTATCTTTTTATTCTCAATATGGGAGTTAAAGTACATATATAATGTCAATGTACAATGCCAAAAGTATTATAAAATGTCCATGTACAACGCAATATTATCACAGTGCGAAGTCTTATTTGAAAAATAATATCTTGTACTACCTCTGTCCCTGAATATTTGTCTAGTTTTGACTTTTTTTTGTCAACAACTTTCAACATTTAGTCTTTAATTAAAGAATATATATTGTACGGAGTATATTAATTAGATAGAATATTATTTTTAAAAAATGTGATGTAATAAATCAAATAAAACTATTTTAGTATCATTATCTAATATCATTTTTATTTAATCTGAAATCAACGTTTATCAATTTTGACCGAAAAAAGTCAACAATAGACAAGTACTCATCAGGAACAAAGAGAGTAATTTTTATTTTGACACTTTCTTAATGTTTTAATTCTATTTTTGATGATTTCATTAATTATTTTCTATTTGGAATTTGGATAGTCCATTACGCACATAAATCTATATAGAGACATTTTTTTTTTTGCATTGGTATTATTAATATTACCACACCGGCCGGCGGGGGGTCATTAATGGACGGAACTCGATCAGAATGGCCCCGTACGTACGTCCCCGTCGGCTGACCTAATTATTCAACGGGCCGGCCGGGCACTTATATACATATATATGTATGTACACACCACAGTTTTGCAGTTGAATATTTTAACGTTAAAAGGATTGAATTGGAAGCAATGTAATAATATGGGTATGGGCATTAAGTATTACTACCCCAATAGGTAACTAAAAGGTATCGGATCCTCTTCCCAAGGTACTTTTTACCCGAGAAACATTTAAAGCCTTTCATACACAAAATTCAAACTATAGAATTGAAACTGCGGGTAATAAATCAAATTTTGTTGTTTGGTAGCATAAAAATATACTCCTTCTGTCCCTAAATAAACTTCCGTTTTTGAGTTTTTGGAGATTTAAGAGAGGGATATTTTGGTGTTGACTTTCCAAAAATCCTCTTGATGTGATGTGTAAAAGTAAGATGTGATACGTAGATTATTAGTAAAAAGGTATGATGTGATAGGTAGGGTATGAAAAAATAAGGGGTAAAAGGGATTTTTTATGGGAAAAGAGAAGTTTAATTGGGGACAAAGAAAAAACGAAAGAGGAAGTTTATTTAGGGACGGATGGAGTATGAATTTAGAATGGGTAGTTCCGAAAATCAATTGAAATTGGAGAATTCAATTCCATCCAAAACCATTGCAATTTATAGAATTTCAACTCTCAATTCTAATTCCGTCAATTCTGTGTATCAAATGGACACTTAGGTCCCGTTTGGTAAACGGAATTCAAACTATGGAATTGGAAATGAGGACTTTAAATGGTAATATCATTTGAAGTATATTTAAATTTTGATAATATCAAGCAATAAGAATAATGTATATTTAACAATATTAGTCCCAAAAGTTTGGAAGCCATGGTACAATTTAGTATTTGTATAAGTCAATGAAATACTTGATGTCAAAGTTTGTTGGTTTCTAGCACGATTTTTATTTTACACTTATATTTAAACAAAGTGATTTGAAAAAAAAATCAAATCAAATATCATAAATTATAGGAAAGTAAATGAGTAATATAAAGAATCCAAAAACAAGAAATTCATTATAAAAAACAATTTTCCCTCAAAATGGGAACCCAAGATAATAAAGGCATTAAAAAGAGAGTCATGAGGGGTAGTTTTGACATCTTGCATCTTTTTGCACATGCAATTTAGTAGTGTGGGACAGATGGGCTCAAGCACTGAATTAGGATAAGACAAATAATCGGGCCTACAAGAAAGGGCCCATATTGTGTTGGTCTGGTGGGCCAGCCCAAAATAAATTCTCTTTCTTCATCTGTCACCGTGGTCCAGCTCACCCATAAAGCCTCCTTTTAACATGAACTGTCAATTATATGCCGACGTGGCCGAATTCTAACTACAGAAATATTTGTGTGCAAAACATACACTCCTTCCCTTTCCAAAAAACCAAAATGATTTTATTTTATTTATATATTTTTATTGATTATTTTATAAAATAAAATTTTATAATCTCTAGTAATTTTTAACATGTAAATTTTATTAATAATCTTATACCAATTTATAATAAATTAATTTTAAAACTGCGTAATTTTCATTCGTAAATAACAAATTGTAATATAGTTTGAGAGGGAATATATGAGCACTAAATACAAGATCCTTAATATCTTCCAATGATTTTGAGAGGTTTTCATTAAAAAATGATGTCGATGGAGTGTTGGTATAATGTTTGTTTATTATTTATTTCATCTATTTTCAAATATATAGATATATATATATATATATATATATATTCTTTTCATAATTTTTAAAGTTGTTCAAGTGAGAACTTGTTCTCCTCGACTTAGTTTTATTACTTGCAAAGTACGGAGTATTACTTATTTTTGTTAAAATCAAATAAAGCTAGAAATAACTTTAAATTGCACAAGTAAATCTAATCATATTGGACAAAGAGAACGAGCTTTGAGAATCCATCCCTCTTAGTTGCTAATTATCAATAAAGTCATAATTAACAATCGTTTTGATTTTAAATTTTTAAAGATTGAAGGCATGTCTAGAGTCTTCATTCAAGGGGTTTCAATTAACGGAAATCCTAAGTTTGAAAATTGAAATACAGAGTTAGAAGTTGAAAAGAACATATATAGAATTATATTTTTTTTAAGGCCCCGTTTGGTACACGGAATTCAAATTATGGAATTGGAATTGAGGGCTTTAATTGCAATTCTGATGTTTGGTAGCACAAAAATTATGTGGATTTGGAATTGATAGTGCAAAAAACGAATTGGAATTGGTAGAATTCAATTCTATGGAATTGAATCTCATGCAATTTCAATTCCAATTCAATTTCGATTCCATCAATTCCTTATACCAAACGGACCCTAAACATTTCTATTTGATTTTACTTCTAAGCTTATTCTTGTATTCTTAGTTACTCTTTGAATTTGATTGCACAATAAGACTGACGTCCCTACCATACTCCTTCCGTCCCTAAATATTTGTTATGCTTGTATTCTCGAGATAAAATATCAAGCTTTTTCAATTCATTTTATTTACAAATTAGTATAGAGATAAAAAATAAAATTTACATATCAAAAAACTACATGAAAAGTTCTTCGAAATAAGAGGTGTCAAGAATATTTTATTTTAACAAATAACCAATAAAAACATGGAAATAAACAAAAGTTCCCGCGACTGCTGAAAAAACAAATGCTGCAAATATTTAGGGACGGAGAGAGTATGATAGAATCTGATCTGATTAATTTGACCTAATCTGGTCTAATTGTAGTTATATTTAAAATTATTTTTGCTTCCTTCTCCAAAAAAAGGTTCTTCATGGCCATCATGGGGTACAGGAATTCAATCGATTAACAACAAAAATCTTTTATTGAATAAATTCTAAAATTAATCCTTTATAACATAAAATTTTTTCTATTTAGTCATCCATTATCATATATTATTCTGGTGGTCCTTTTATGGATATCTTTCCATAAAAAATCTTTTTTTTATCTTCTGTCATATTCGTGTTAAATTTAAAGCTAAATATGCAATTTTACAACGATCCTATATCTTTCTTGTCATACACAATTACAAACACTACTCATAATGCGCCATTTTTAAATTGTAATCGCTTTCTACTACAACGATAGTCTACAGATGTGATCTTTCGTTGGAATCCAAGTCCACAATCATAGCGATTGTTGTTGTGTTGTCCGTCTAACCGATATCAGAATATATCACTAGATAAAAAGTTGATGTCAAATTGCACTTTTAGCCATCGAATTAAGTTTTTCAAATGTGGAATTTGAGCCAAATCTGGATTTAAAATCTAAATCCATGTTCCCAAACATACTGTTAAATCCTTTGGCCTACAATTTGTATCAGCATAGAGGGACAAAGTGATACAAGTTTATGACTTGTCTCATTGTTCATACTCTGTAAAAACCACAATGTCAAGGTTCATTTTCCTCTTCCGTGCGCGCTTTGGACGCAGCTATCAATGAATCCAATTTGTCGGCCAACTCGGCACCCACGGCTTGTGCTTTGTTTATCATGTCATGTATGTCAGCGGGGTCTAAAGCCGCGCCACCTTGTTTACTCAACCCGCACATATGACCTTTCCTATTAACCAAAATGGACACGGCTGAGCTCATACATGACTCCTCTTCAATAGTGGCATCTACAATAGAGTGCCTCCCGACCTGCATACGTATTCATAAAAATCGTCTATTAGAACAACGATTCCAGCAGAATCCCACAAACAACTTATTAGTTAAAAAACAAATAACTCTGTGAAAGTCCAATCAGGATCTTTATGGCACGGAGGTAGTGGAAATAATAATAACTAAAGAAGACAATGATGACAATGGAGATAGTATAAGGTTCCGTTTGGTACACGGAATTCAAACTGTGAAATTTGAATTGGAGACAACAATTCCAATTCTACTGTTTGGTAGCACAAAAATATGTGGGTTTGGAATTCGTAGTGCCAAAAAATGAATTGGAAATGGAGAATTCAAGTCCATCCAAATCAATTTCACAGAATTTCAACTCCCAATTCAATTTCAATTTTCCGTGTACCAAATGGACCCTAAGAGTAATAGCTTCAATTACCTTCGTCAAGGTGACTATGACAGGGACACTACTGGTGTCAAATTTAACAAATTCTTCATCACTCACATCAACTTCTGGATGTTCATTAGATGAAGCATCATTAGATACATGAACACTTGGAATACATGTATTACTCAAGGCAGCCTGGAACAAGGGGAAAAAAATGCAACCAATCATTCAACTGTTTTCATTCATAAAAAAATGGCATAAAAGAGTAACTTCTGAAACCTTAATGGCAGCACCGAGGGCGTCGAGTAAATTCCCGTCATAATCAATCACCAGGCCGTGTATGAATAGATCCCAACAAACTTTTGCGTGCACAACCGAGACTCCGAGAGGGAAGAAATATCAATTGCAGCCCCTGCAACAACGTCAAAGAATCTTTAGATCATTAACCTAACGGACCGTATGAGGAAATAGTTCCAACCCATTGGTCTGCCCTTGTGTGTCGCTTGATGCCATTTTGTTTTTCACAAAGCCGATTATACCTGCCCCACTGTTCCCACCAAGCAGACATTGTTGAAGGGTAGTTGACAGTTCTGCACTCAACTCATCGCCGCCTCTTCCTTACAAGAAGTAACATAAATGGACAAAATTAACCTTGTGAATGATGTGAACGGCTGATTTGGCTCTACTTCAACAGTTGAGTAGCATAAATGCCATGGTTTACAGTAAACATTAACAAGAGTTTAAAGCAATTATATGAATAGGATTCAAATAACAAACAAGGATAGCTTATACCAAACTGAACATTTAAACAAACCCTAATCACATAAGAGCATTATTCGAGCTTTATTCAAAGTCAATCTAATTGATTTAAGCAACCTTAAACATCGGATCTGCTATGGGACTGCACTCTACAGATATGGAAACTCTGCCCTTGTCGGGGTGACATGGACTTGGTTTTCCAAGTTCAGCCTGCAAATAGGAATAAACAAACAGCATAAAGATTATGTTCAAAAAAATATTATCAGTAAGTAGCATAAAGATAATGTTCACAAACAAAACATTAAGTCTGATCAAATACCTTGACACTGACATCTGTGTCACCAATCTTGACTCTTTCCGAACCACTCGCCTTTCAAAAAGAATCATTGAACTATAAATCACGTGCCAAGTGCCATATATCCGGTATGAAAACACATGGCCAAATTAACAAATGAAATGGAGGGAAAACACACAATGTAGTATAGAACTCAGAAAATACATTACCTGAGGGATGACACCCGTTTCAACTTCAATGTGTCGATAAAATAACCGCTTCCGACCATCTGTTCGCATATCCGAAGCAATACCTCCTCCAATGAAGTTGTTTTTATCAAGATGTAACCCTACCATAACTGCATGAAAATAAACCATATGTGACATAAGCCATAACCCATGCACATATGCAAAGGGAAGAATCTAGAAGAGCATATTTGTGTACACTAGACTGCTTTCAGGACCTTGTTAGGTGAAAGTGAACATCAAACACTTTTTTTAGAAAATGCTATTTTGAGGCAAAAGGAAACCAACCAGAGGTGTATTCGACTTTTCAACCAACGGGTACATGCTTGTAGAAATTATAATGCATATAAAATTAACGCGAAATACCACACAAAGTACGGTAGAAGTTCCTGTACTATGTAAAAATTTTCAACTTAGTCCTTGTACTTGTAGTTAAAGCAATTAAGTCCTTGTACCATTCTTTTTTGTTCAATCAAGTCCTTCCTTTACTCTTTCTTTTCTAATTTTACAATACATGACATAAAAATATATCCTTGGAATGTTAATGCATACTTATGTTTCAAAAACCTTTTTTTTACCAAGTGCAATATTCATTGGTTTATTTATTTTCTTTAATAGAATAATATATAGGGATAACATTGTTTATTTTTAATGACTAAAATTATATTAAAAAAATACATAGGACATATTTGGGAATAGCGTTAGCGTTTTGAATAAAATGTTAACGGTGCAGATTACTTTGAAACGCTACACACTGCCATAGATAGCCTTTTCAAAACGCTAACGCTCATTTCTAAAGTCATTCCCAAACAAGCCCATAAATTAGCATGCCAATGCAACATTACTTTGCCAATATTTTTTAGTATTAATCATTTAATTTATGTTTGTTGTCCTATTCATCAGGAAGTAGCTATACACTTTCTATGTTTTTCCTTATTCTTAGCAAATGCAGTTTGTTTCCGTTCTCTTGATTGTACTGCCTGTAAATTGGCTTACCTATGGAGTAATAAAGTATCAAGTCTTTCTCTCAATTCCTGTGTTGCTTTCTAGAGTTCCCTCATATATTTGTTTTATCCATTTCTTCTTATTAAGGTTGTCTACAACCTGTTTGATAAAATTCCCCAAAGACAAACTGTTTTACAAAGTGACCATAAACTGTACAGAACAATTAGACAATTACCTAAGCAAATTCAATAAAAATAGCGTAAGAGGAAAAAATAGAGGTGGGCTGTGTACGGCTGGCCGAACCTGGAGACGGCGTATGGGAGTGGCGGCGGACGCGCCTCGTGGTGGTGCGTGGCGGAGGAAGACGGCGAACTTGACGACGGAAGGCAACGAGCTGGGTTGCGATTTAGTGGGAACGCTGTGCTTTTTCTTTACTCCCTTTTACAATAACGATTTTTGTTTATTAGGCTGGTGAGATAATCTATTGGGCCTTTGGGGCTTTTACTTTTTTTTAATTCGGCCTACTTTATTATTTGGACCAATTTAGTGAGTACAAAATATATGCCACATCTGATCCTTGGACTTTGGGGGTTTTCATTTTTTGTGTTTGGGCCTACTTTATTATTTGGACCAATTTACAGAATATATAATACTCTCTCCGTCCCATAAAGATAGAGAGACAACAACAACAACAACAACCCAATTAAATCCCACAAGAGTAGGGTCTGGGGAGGGTGTGTGTACGCAGACCTTACCCATACTCGAAAGTAGAGAGGCTGTTTCCAAAGAGAGCGGCTCAACGTCGAAAGTTGCATTGCTTAACTAATTGCTACTTCATTAATTAAAGAAGCGCAGACAATTTAGAGATCCATTTTAATTTATTCCATCACACCCCAAAACCAAAAAATGGTGAAATTTTGGCTCCATTGGAGATGATGGAAAAAATGGTGAAATTTTGGCTCCATAAAGATAGAGACATAGTGACAATGGATAATTTTGTTTTGATTTTCTAAAATTACTCTTGTTGTGATGAGTAAAGCTTAGATGTGATGTGTAAATTATTAGAAAAAAAAATACTCCCTCCGTCCCAAATTATTTGCCACATTTGTATTCTCGAGGCAAAATATCAAGTTTTTTCAATTCATTTTATCTACATATTGGTAAAGAAATAAAAAATAAAATTTACATATAAAAAAACTACAAGAAAAGTTCTTCGAAATTAGATGTGTCAAGAATATTTTATTTTATCAAATAATCAATGAAAACGTCGAAATAAACAAAAGTTCCCGACACTGCTGAAAAAGCAAATGTTGTGAATATTTAGGGACGGAGGGAGTATGATGTGATATGTGAGGTATGAAAAAGTAAGAGATAAAAGTGATTTTTTAATTGAAATGAGAAAGACTTTTGGAGACACGATTTTTTTGAAACGTGAAATACTTTTTGGGACGGAGGAAGTATTTGAGTTCCAAAATATTCATTCAGTTTTAGTTTTCAAGGTTAATCCAGATAAATTTTTATAATCAGTTTAATAAAAATTGTATCAAGTTTAAGTATAAAAATTTTTTGTTTTTTATCTAGCAGAAAACTATTGAAATTTTATGGACCATTTAATTATGTTAAAGTATAATTAATGTCATTGATGATAAGAATTGGGCTAATCACTTCTTTGGGCTACGGGCCTACGTTATTATTAGGGCTAATTAAGGGGGTCCGAATGTACGATGTATTTGATTGGAAAATTTTCTCCCTTAAAATAAATCATGTATTCGTGAAACCCATCATTAAAATTTACTATTCTCATCTTAGAGTATTTATCTAAGTTAGTTTTTTTGAATTAAACTTGATAAACTTTCATCATCAATTAAATAAAAACTATATTATATTCATATTAGTACAAAAATATATTAATTATATGATCAAATAATTTAATTTGTCTTGTGTAAGCGAACAAAAATTTTATTTATTGAAATATGTGTAATACGAATTATAATAAAATTGATGATTAACCATGTTTGACATGAAATCAAAATGAACAAATACTTTAGAATAAAGAGAGTATATTTTAGGTTATGACTAATCCACCCCTTTAATGACTAAGTCACACGTTTCCACCTTAAATTTTTCTGATCCACACCCTAGAATGCCTAGGTGAAAAATATCAAGTTATTAAAATGTGGAAGTGAATTTAGCAAATTTGGATAAAGAAAGTGGATTTAGGGGCTGTTTGGCAACTTCTGAATAGGTAAGTGCTGAACCACTAAGAGGTCTGAACCATTAAGTGCTGAACCAGTAAGAGGTCTGAACCATTAAGAGCTAGTATATTGCTTAACTATTCAGAGGCAAATGTCTGATCAATTCAGATAAGAGGTCTTAACCATTCAGACTCTGTATATTACTTAACCATTCATAAGCAAATGTCTGAACCATTCAGACATCTACTCACGAAACAAACAGTCTGAACCATTAAGTGCTGAACCATTCAGACATCCGAACGATTAAGAGGCTGAAACAAACAGCCCCTTAGGTTCTGTTTGACATCAACTTTAGAGATTAATATTAACGTTTTGAAAAAATTGTTCGACGCTAGTCTTTAGTACTCCTTCCATCTCAAAAAGTTTTTCACGTTTCAAAAAAAAACGTGTCCTTTTCCTATCACATCATACCTTTTTCCTAATAATATATACATCAAATCCTACTTTTATCAATCACATCAAGGATATTTTTGGAAAATCAACACAAAATTATCATTCCCTTATTTTACTACTTTAGTTCAAATGTCCGTATCTTTATTGGACGGAGGGAGTATTATTGTTTTCAGAATTAGTATACACAAATAAGATTTTATCCAAAACGCTAACTAATCGAAAGCATTGTCCCCAAACAAGGCATTAAAAATTTTTGGAGCGAATTTAGTCTCTCACTATATTTTACAGTATTCAGAAAGTAGTAACGAAACTCAGAATACTTGATCTTTTATCTAAGAATTATATTTGACTGGAATAAATTATGATGTAATTGAGTTGAAAATCTTGTAATTAAAATGTTGAGTACATAAAATACAATTGTTTGTTTATTTTTGTAAATAAGAACTTTATTTTGAAATGATCAAATTGGTAATTGTTTTCTGTTTTTGTTTTACTTTAAAAATGCAATTAAAACATCATTTTAAGAAAGAAAAGAAACCCATTTTATGTGTCCTAAACAACAAAAAAGGTTTGGTGGACATGATATGATAGACACAAAACGATGGATTGGGGGGACATGATAGACACGAATCAAAGCTTTGGCTTGGTAGTAGATAGATTGAATTGATTGGTTAATACGGAGTAATGTGCAGGGAGGGCAAATACAGACAAGAGGAGTTGATATATATGGAATGACAATTTAATCACTCTCCCCTCTCACTCCACTCCTATGCTATACTATGCTATCTATACTAATTTGTTTCCAACTCTTTACCACTAATACTAATTTATAACAACAAGATATTTTTCTATCTTGTTGTTATAAATTATTATTGTTGTTGTTGTTGTTGTTGTTGTTTTTGGTGGTGGTGGTTGTGGTAGTGGTGATGTTATCACATTATCTTAATGATTGTCTTTAAGATAAAAAAATATTACAAATATTATTTTTCATATATAAAAAGCTAGTTTAAAAAAATAATTAGAATATAAAATTAGCATAAATATTACACTTCTTGGGTCATTTTTTCTTTTTCAAAATGTAGTTTTCTCTTGGCTTTCATAATGTAGTACTCCCCATCACATTTCATACTTTATATTTTAGATCAAAATATTTATGTTTACCTTATATAAATTTAGATTAAAAAATATTCTATATAACTATTTATCCATAATTTTTTAAATAGTTTCCTAATTTTTCATGTAAATTAATATAAAAAACGATATTATTCATATTAAAAAGTTGAAGAAAAAATAATAATGAATGTTAATCATAAAAATAGTAAGATGAAAAAATGAAATAATTTATAAACTATAGTTATGAACATAACAGTTGTAATTTAAAAAAAGTTGTAATAATAATAATAATATATATTTTTTAGAGTGATTCGTGAGAAAGTAGAAAGAATTTGAAGAAAAAATAAATATAGTTGGAGGAAGTTAGAAGAAACTAAAAGACTCTGGAAGAAACTAGAAAAAAATGAAAAGAACTAGAAGAAACTGAAATAAACTGTAAATTAAGAGTTAAAACTCTAAATAACAACTCATTTATCATCCATTCATGTTTTGTTCCGTTCTTGAGATTGTTCAAGACGTGCATCCGCACAACGCCAATAGTTTTGTGGGATCCAACATTTGTATAGGCCCACATTTCTAATATTTGGAATTTGTTTTTTAAATGTATAAATGTAGCTAGAGCTGGCAAATCGGTCGGTCAGGTCGGGTTCGGGTTCGGTCACTTCAAGTTCGGGTTATTTCGGGTTTGGGTCAATTCGGGTTCGGATTGAGAACTGTATGTTCATGACCCAGTATCGTCGGGTTCGAGTCGACCCAACGGGTTATAACTTTGATTTTTAAAATTTTTAAATTCACATTACCACTTACATTTTCTATTAAATAAATTTAAAATATCAAAAAAATGTATTAAATCTATAAAATTGATTTATTTTAAACTCTGAAGTAATTTTTTAGATATATAAATCAATATAAAGAATTTAAAAATGCTTAAGTTTTGGAAAAAAGTAAGATAATTATGCAATATCATTAAAATTTTCTCTGCAAATATAAATTTGTACACTAAAAATGAGTAGTAAAGTGTATGATTTTGAAAAATTCTTACTTTAGCGGGTCGGTCAGGTCGGGTTCGGGTTCGGTTGGGTTTGACCCATTTTTAGCGGGTCATTTCGGGTTCGGTCAACTTCGGGTTCGGTCATCAAAACCATTGTTCAAAACCCAGTGTTTTCAGGTCGGGTTTCGGGTCAAAAACAGGTCGGGTCATTTTTTGCCAGGTCTAAATGTAGCTAGTGCGGATTTTTTTAATAAAAAACGTTGCATTATTAATAATGAAAAGTCAAATATAGCACTAATTTTAAAACAAAAAAGAGTACCACACACAAGATAAAATAGAGATAAATATTTTGTACGTAACTAAAACTAAAATATACAGAGTAATTCATATCACCATGATTTTTTTGAACTGAGTTAATTTGACCTTCAAATGACCCTAAACAGCTATATTACTCTGTTGTTAAAATTGATATCTCATATCTCCGAATCCCCCTTCCAAAAGTCTTATATATGCCCCCATATCACATATTCAAAAAAAATCCTAAATCGGTGATTAATTCGTTCGATTTCCTTTTTACACAAACACCAAGAAAATAGCATAACGAAGAAGTTACAAATATGTTCATACATCTTCTCTTTGGGAGTTCTTCCTCCATGTGAGTTATCTCTGTCTTTATCCATTTCATTTTAAGTGGAGCGTGACAATCTTAGATCAGATATTGCTCCTTTTGATAGTTTTGTAATGCTTAACTACGGAGAAATTTTACAGTTGATCTGAGTGTAATTGTTATAAATATATACACCTAATAGCACTAAAAATTAAACAAAATCGTAAGTCTTTATTTATTTGTCAAATAAGAGAAGGAACAAACTCATTTAGGTAGTGTTTGACAACTAGGATTTCATTTCAATTCATGTATTTCAATTCCAAAATTTGAAATCTAGAATTTCAAATGGCAAGAGGAGGGACATGGATTTAAAATTAAGCTTTGTTATGAATGAGAAGAATTCAAAATTTGTAAGTTTCCCAAACATGGAATTTGAGCCAAATCCGGATTTGAAATTCAAATCCACGTTCCCAAACATACCATTAGACAATTCAAAAAAGAAAAGTTATCTAATTCAGCCGGCAATAAGTAGGAGTATATGATAACTCCAGCACTTTGTTATAACTAACATTCAAAAAAAAGTTTACTTTTATTTTATGAACCTTAATATATAAATTATTTGGAAAAAGTAAAAAAATCTTCATGTCGGCTCATAAAAAATGTAAGAAAGTCCACATATCAGATGAAGACTTTAATATCATGGAAACATAATTCATTAATCATATATATTCATTTCATACATTTTTTTGGACAACATTCATTTCATGCATATTAATTCATTAATTTATATTTAGCCGATATTTGGATAATTCCAATACTAACATCTAATTTAACATATTTTATATACATCACTAAAAATTATTTAAAAATTGCAATAATGCTAATTACTAACTCTCTTTTCAGATTCAATAATTCCATAGACATTCCAGGTCCACGGGCCCACCTGCTGAGCTCATCACCCATTTTTCGTCGTCTTCTTCCTTAGACGGCAGCCCATTGTTCTCGAGCCAGAGCCTCAAAACAGAGTGATCCAAACACGGCATTACCTGGCAGGGGAGGAGGAGATTGCCGGACAAACGGGTCGGGTCGGGCAGAGATTTCTCGTCGGAGAAGCAGGTCACGTGCGCCGTGGTGGGTCTCGGCTGGGATGCGTCCATTAACGGCGGCAGGGCCGAAGAAGGTTCTTGGATCTCGCCGGAGGAGCTGTCTCCTTTGATCAGTGAAGACATGTGGACTTTATGGCCGCCGGAAGTCTTCTTGAATATTCTGCAGAGCACCCATTCATTCTAGAAACACCCAATCAAACATTTGACAAAAAAAATTTTGAGTTTCAATTAAATAAAAATTGTAATGTATATTGGTATAAAAATGTTTTAATTTGGTTTATCGAGTTGATTACTTTCATTTTTTTATAGAACAAAGCAGATTATATTAACTCCAAACAGTTCGTACACACCCCCAAACCAGGGGTTAAATATTACAGCAGAAACATGCTACTACAATATACTAAATTATTTTCAAATTTTTATTTCATTGTACTAATATCTTGTATAATTTGAGAAAAATTAAAACTCAAATTTATTCAGCTTTAATTGAAATGTCAAATTGAACAGATATAGTGGAGTGGAAGTAGTAAATATTACTCCGTACATATAGAGTATTTCAAAATTACTACACACATGAAAAGTTTTATATAAAACAAGATGAGAGAAAAATATTTTATTTTATCAAAAAATTCATGAAAGCATTAAGATGATTATTTTAGGATGAGGGAAAAAGAGGCAGACCCACGTCGAGTCATACGGGATTACAGGACCCCACACACCTCCACGATGATTTCTACTCTTCATGTATCATAAACGGTTCTTATTTTGACTTTTAGAAGAAATAAGAAGTGTACATTTGTGGTTGGGTTTTCAAATTTGACTTGTGAAATAAGAGTGAAAAAGGAGAGAAACTGTACCGTCACAGATCTCGATGTAGAAAATGAAAAGCGAGGAAAAATGAATTTCCTTCTCAATTCGGGAATAAAAGGGAGAGAACTCATCCCCACACAGATCTCGGTGTGGAAAAAGAAAAGAAAATTGAGGAAAAAAGAATTTCCTTCTCAATTCGGGAGTGAAATGGAGAGAAACCGTCTGCTCACATATCTTGATGTGAAAAAAGAAAAGCGATGAAAAACCAATTTCCTTCTCAATTCGGGAGTGAAAAGAAGAGAATCGTCCCCTCACAAATCTTGATGTGGAAAAAGAAAAGCGAGAAAAAATCAATTTCCTTCTCAATTTGGGAGTGAAATGGAGAGAAACCGTCCCCTCACAAATCACGATGAGGAAAAAGAAAAGCGATGAAAAATGATTTTCCTTCTCAATTCGGAAGTGAAATGGTGAGAAATCGTCCCCTCACAGGTCTCGACGAAGAAAAAAGTGAGGAAAACTGAGTTTCCTTCTCAATTCGGACAGGAAAAAGGAGAGAAACCGTACTATCACAGATCTCAATGTAGAAAATGAAAAGCAAAGAAAAATAAATTTTCTTTTCAATTCGGGACTAAAATGGATAGAAAGTGTCCCCACACAGATCTTGATGTGGAAAAAGAAAAGCGAGGAAAAAAGAATTTCTTTCTAAATCTAGGAGTGGAAAAGAGAGAAACTGTCTCCTCACAAATTCGATGTAGGAAATGAAAAGGGAGGAAAAATGACTTTCCTTCTCTATTCGAGACTGAAAAGAAGAGAAACCGCCCCCTCATATATCTGGATGTGGAAAAAGAAAAGCGAGGAGAAAAGACTTTCCTTCTCAATTCGGGAGTGAAATGGAGAGAAACCGTCTCCTCACAGATCTCGATGTGTAAAAAAAAGCGAAGAAAAACAAAATTCCTTCTCAATTCGGGAGTGAAAAGAAGAGAAATTGTCCCCTCACAAATTCTGATGTGGAAAAAGAAAAGAGAGGAAAAATGAATTTCCTTCTCAATTTGGGAGGGAAAAGGAGAGAAATCGTCCCCTCACAAATCTCGATGTGGAAAAAGAAAAGTGATGAAAACGAATTTGCTTCTCAATTTGGGAGTGAAAAGAAGAGAAATCGTCCACTAGCAGATCTCCATGTGGAGGAAAAAAAGTGAGGAAAATTGTATTTCCTTCGCAATTCAAACGTGAAATGGAGAGAACCCGCCACCTCACAAATCTTGATATGGAAAAAAAAAGTGAAGAAAAATGAGTTTCCTTCTCAATGCAGGAGTGAAAAGGAGGGAAACTCTTCCCTCATAGATCTCGATATGGAAAAAGAAAAGCGAGTAAAAATGAATTTCCTTCTCCATCCGGATGTGAAAACCAGAAAAACTATCTCCTCTAAGATCTCGATGTGGGAAAGACTTTTCTCTAATTTTGGAATTCCCCAACACAAATGCTATGTCTCTACGTCTTTCAGTTTAAACTCGCCGTCATTCTTCTATACTCCCTCCAATTTTGAAAACACTACGTCTTTCATTTTTTCGTTTTATCAAAATACTTCTACTTTTGCAAGAATGACTAATATATTCAAATAACGGCATTGCAATGTACACGTGCAAGGTTCGAGCAAAAGAGTGAATCTTGTCTCCCCGTCACGGAGCGTAGTCGAATATAAAAATCTTTCATTGGCCACAACCACGAGTTTGACTTTTTGGTTGAATTGATTCTTTGACAAGTAGCTTTTATATTCAAATTGGGATCTCCTTTGTAACCAAACAAACAAATTATGAAAAAAACATTTTCCTCACTAATATATTTTTCTCATATAAAACTCAACAAAAGTACTCCCTCCGTCCCAAAAAGTCTTTCCTGTTTCATTTTTTGCGCATCCCATAAAACACTTCTACCGACATCTAAAATGCATAAAATTTATAACATTTTTTCTTTATTGTGGGTAGAAGTTATTTTGAAAGTTTTTTTGGCATTCAAGGCGGGATATAAGTGTTTTAAGGGATGCGCAAAAAATGAAACAGGAAAGACTTTTTGGGATGGAGGGAGTATAATTTTAGATTATTTTTTTACTTTTTTTACATTTTTCTTCTCTTCCTAATTCAATTCCTTCAACCAAAGAGAGTGATAATGTCTAGAATTAATTAATGTACCTTGGTGTTTGAGATGGAACTCTTTGCATGCAATCTGTACTCATGCATCACCCAATTGGTCTTCTCACCTCTAGGTGCTCTTCCTTTGTAAAAAACCAAAGTCTTCTTCACCCCCACCACTGTTTGGCCCTTGAAAATCCCCTTGTCTTTCCCTGTTGCCTTCCAATACCCTGCTTTTGTTGCCCTGTTTGTCCTCTCCCCTGTTGGGTACTTCCTGTCCCTCACACAAAAGAAATACCACTCTCTTTCTCCCATTTTTGCCCTCCCTTCAATTTTTTTTTAAAAAAATAATAATAATACAAGTTATTAATCATTTAACAAAAACACTGTCGTCAAATAGCTTTTTCAAAACGGTGAAACCGTTGGCCGGGACGAACTTACATGGCAAATCCCAGGGCTCGACGGAGTTGAAATCGACTTCGGCGATGGCTCTGGGAGAGAAGGCCGCGTCGCGGGCCTTGCGGCACAAGTAATGAGTGATGAGCTCTTCGTCCGTGGGATGGAACCGGAAGCCCGGCGGCAGGTCGATCTCGTCGCCGGCACGGCGGAGGATCACGGCCGGGAGGACGACGTCGTTTTCCATTGTGAGGAAGAAGAGAAGTTTGAGACTTCAAGAAAGCTTGGAAAAAGTCATAAAGACGGTGGAGAAGAGATATTTTTTATGAAACAAAAACAAAAAAACAAGCAGATAAGGTTAATGGGTATGGTGTGACTTGTGAAGAGGTGTTTATATATATATATATATATATATATATATATATATATATATATATATATAATAGAAATGAATAGTTTGGGAATTAGCTCAGCTAAGCTAAGACTAGAACGGTCACAATGAAAGAAAATCTTGTGCCGGAAAACAATGAAAAAGCCGCGTGAAACGAGAAGAAAAAAATATATATTGCGGAAATAATTACGTCACTGAAAAATATATAAGTCTAGTGCACAAAATGTCATCGTTGGAAAAGGGTCCCACCACAAGAATGTAATGTAGGTCAATCGTATTGGATATTTTTACCGGATAAAGCTATTTATACCCAAACTTTTGTATCCCAATTGTATCTCGCAGGTTTGCACCGATATTTTGTGTTGGTGTAAAACTAATTTTTGTTAACGCACCAACATTTTTGTGTCCGTGTAAATTTTTGTTAACGTACCAACACTTGTGTCGGTGGAAACCATCAAAATGTTTGCGTATAACTGCGGTGTATAAATGAGGTATAATTTTTGGTGTAAGTGTAGCATGACCCATTTTTACAAGAGGCAATAAAATTTGAAAAGGTTTTTACTCTTACTCCCTCCGTCCCACTATTTTTTTCCACTTACCTTTTGACACACTATCCAATGCACTTCTTTAATCTATTTTATCTTATAATTTGTATATTAAAAAATTATAAAAATTATATATTAATAATCTATATGTTAAGACGAATCAAACAAGATCACACATGACTATTTTTAGGCTTACACATTGAGAGAATTTGATGAGTCAAAGTGCTTAGATGAACAGTTCCAAAAGTCAAAACTGGACAAAGACAATGAGACGGAGGTAGTATTTGACAAATCATAAACGGACCTTAGAATATGAACTCTCTTGGATCCATTTTATGGTCACTCTCTTTAAGTCACTATAGAAGAAAATGGACACTTATTTTATTTCGTTCGTAAAATTGATAGTTCTTATCTCCTAATTCACTCGATAAATTTTTCATGCAATGCTGATCCCAACTCATTCTTCACCACATATCAGTTGCATCCCGAAAGTTTAGTTGATTTTAGATAAAAAAAAATTGACTTCAAAATCAACTTAACCCATAAGGTGCAATTGACGTGAGTGGAAAGATGGATTGGGGTCAGTACTACGGAGCGGAGTGGGGGAGGGAATTTGCGTGTGGTAAGCAGATAAAAATGTGAGCTTGGAATAATACCCACAATTCAAATGTAAGAGTACGTGAAACTCGCCCTTAGCAAAATTGATAGTTTCAACACCTTAGTAAACCCGGCCTCACCCAATCCCAATCCAAACCCATCCCCTACCCGAGTCAATTTTACTTCATTTGATGATAAATTGTAGGGAGTAATTTGTAAGTGCTTGAGTGTAAGCTACACTTGATTTATACCCGATCATGGACCTGCATGCACTCATGGACTGCAACTGCAATTCTCATGATCTAATCTTTGAGTTGCAAATCGGTACTGCTCTAGCATTTTTTTTTATATTGTTTTTGAGTAATAAATTACAATTTTTAATAATTTGATTGCGTAAGTTCACGTCTCGATTTTTTTCCATATACAAAGAATTTGTGAAGTTAAATTATTTTAATTCAAAAACAACATAAACTAACACAAAAAACGGTACTAAAACCGGACCGGGACCCACGTGAGAACCAGACCGAGACCGTACGACCAGTCATCAGTTTTGGTGCCACCCTTTACAGTACTGGTTGTTTCAGAACTAGAACCAACGCGTAACGTGTCAATGCCTAATATTGAGTGTATTGTCTATATTAATATTGCGACCAATATTGGAATGATAACATGAATTATCATTATAATTTTCAAAAGTTATTATAAAGTTAGATCAAATTATTGATTTGAATTGTAAATCAAATCATAATTAATCAAATTGGATCGGACCAGATTCAATCAGATCAGATTCAATGAGACTAGATCAGATTCACTCAGATCAGATCAGATCGGAATTACAAAAAATCATATCAGATCAAAAAAAATAAGTTGAACGAAACAGAGCCTTAGCCTTATGTACTCCGTACATATTCACTCTTTATTCAAGTTTTGTTCATGTGGATTTTGATCACAAAATAAATTTCTTTGAAACAATGGAGTATAACTTTTAGGAACGATTAGGAATAAAAAAGCACCACTTCCCCACTTTGTAAAACATTTGTAAAGTTGACTTTAATCTATTTTTGGTACAGCCTAGAGAAGAGCAAAATAATTTGGACCATAATAATATGATGGACCGGGATTTGGACCGAACAAGTTCTCAACAGTAATCCGGTCTAAGACCAATATTTTCAAATGGTCCCTAGTATAAATGACAGAAGAGGAGGAGAAGATATGAATGTACTCTCTCAGTTCCATAATTATGATCACTTTACGCAAACAAGAGTAAAATTTTAATTTATTTAATTTAAAAATTGATATATAAATAAAAAAATAAAAGTTACACATTTAAATATTACACAAAAAGTTTCACAAAATAAATGGTGATAATAATATCCTATTTTATTAAACAATCAATGAAAGCGCATAAAGAAACAAAAGTTTTGTGTTTGAAATGGTAAAGAAAGAATGAAGTAATACACATTAAAATAAAGAAAAATTTGCACAAAATAGAACTAAAACATAAGTCATTTTCCTAATGTAGGATTTAAACTTTTTATTCCCTAAATAGTATTTAATAATGTCTAGTGGAAGAAATAATGTCCAGTGATGACGAATATTTACTTGAATAATAATCAATGGTCCTATCTTAAGAAATAAAAACATATGATCGTATATTAAAAAAGTCATTATGTTTTAGTTCTATTTAGATAAATTATTCTAAAATAAAATCATAAGTATTACAAGAATAAAAATAAAAAAGTTTTACATTCTAGCAAATTGAGTGCGTTAAATTTATTTAAACCATCAACTAAATTTTACATTCTAGCAAATTGAGTGCGAAACTTCCGCGCAAATTCTATAGTCAATGCGACGTGAAGTTAAAGATATAATTCTTGAAAAATGATATCACAAACACCATTCCGTTGTAGTCTAGGTGGTTAGGATACTCGGCTCTCACCCGAGAGACCCGGGTTCAAGTCCCGGCAACGGAATTAACTTTTTTCCCTGCCAATTTGTTTTTTTTTTCATTTTTTCAATTAATATTCATTTTTTAACTATAAATTTAAAATTAATTAGGTGTATTTTCCTTTTTATTACTACATACTAATATCTCTATATCATGTTTCAAAATTGATATCAAATTTATAGCATGATATTAAAGTGTTTACTTTAATATACATTGAATCTCCCTTTCAATATGAATATTTTGTTCATAGGAAATTCTATATTAAATATTTTAAAAATTAGTAATTGTGTGTGTTAAGCCCTTAGTAGTATTGTTTTATATTTGAACTTTGGCAAGGAGTTACTCCACGCAAGATATTGAGACAAATACATGGACTGTTAATTTATGAGGGCCAATTTGACGCAAATTAGCAAAGGCTTTACTGGCATAAACATGTGTGCATAATTGTGAAGGGATAGCAAACACTAATTACAATGGGTTTGACCGACACTACCAATTAGCATCGAGCAGATTAGCCACAGTGTTTACTCATTTATGGATATTATTATGGTCAACATTTAAAAACATGCACAAGAACATCAAGTGATAGGAAAATTTTCCGATAGATGCATTGTTATTATTATTATTATTGTTGTTGTTGTTGTTGTTGTTGTTGTTGTTGTTGTTGTTGTTATCAGCATCATCATCACTTCTAGAATTATTGTTGTTAGTGTTATTTTTATTTATCAACGATAATAAAATGACATAATGATTGAACCAATGACAAATTAATTTTTAAAAATACTCCCCTAGTAACTAAGACAAAGTTTACTTACTAGTAAGAGTGAGTTTCATTTTGGTGGTTCGGTTTTCACCTAAAACAAAAACAAAATGAAAAATTAGTTAGCGGTTCGATTTGGTTTCACACCAAAAATATATAAACCATTGGTGATTCAATTTGGTTTTATGCACTTTTTATTTTGATTTTTTTTGATATTTTGGTTTTTAAAAATTAAAAATTATAAGTATTAGAAAAAGTTGTAACAACACCATCTCGATGAAGCAGTAACAAAATAGTTTTCTTTTTTTGCCACAGTAATGTTCTTTTAACAATGCAAATAAATTTTTTGTAAAAAAAATTAGCTCAATAGATGTTACAACTAACTTTTTTAATGATTCAACAATAAAATAACTATTATACCGAACAACTAAACCATATAAATGTAACAAAAAATAACTTTTTAAAAAAATCAACATTTAAAAATAGAAAGTATTATAGAGACAAAGCAAACTTGATATTCGAGTCGAATATTTGGACAGATAAACTCTTGAAACACAATTACAAAAACACTTATGCTTTTTCATTATTTTGAACTTCTGGGAGTATCTCCGATCGGATAGAAAATGAAGGTTTCATAGAAGAGTTATGCTTTTATAATCATAAACTCTACGGGTGAAGTTTGTTCTTTCTCACATATTTTAGATGGGTTGATCGATTTTTCTATTTTACAAAACCCAATACATATAGTCATTTTATATACTGAAAGCTCATAAAATGAACATGAACGTAAAGAGTAAAAAAAATTTACCTTCAATAGAAGCTCATCAAGGTGTAGAAGGTCCACATAGTCCTTCTCATACAAATTTTATCTATTTTGTTTTTTTAAAATAAACCATTCTTATCTCAATGCTAAGCAAGTGCTTTATTTGACTTATATGAAGATCTGTCATAGAGCTTGGATTCATGTAAGATTTTGCCCATCATGTAATGACTATAATGTTCACCTATTTATTCATTTTTAATTTCACCATTTGTTTTATAGAATTCATGGTTACTTCATTTGTCCTGCAAATTAAAGAGTTTACTATTGCAGTTTATGGCGATTTCTTGAAATTATTTTC